TTTTTTGGGACACCCACGATATGATGTACCATTCAGCTCACGACGCAAAAATTACCATTTCAGTATTATCCCCGACTCCGTTATCAGCACTTCTTCCGAATCAACGCATACAATAGAAGTGAGAAATTGACTCTTTGCTGTCATCCTGCATCAGTTTGTCGAAATTTCAATGCCTTTTTCGCAGCGATTATTCATCTGAAACAGTTTGCACATTGAAGGTCCAGCGCGTTGCGATTTCGAAAAACTGATAGCAAATCGACTTTGCGACACCCGTATGCCACGCGCAGACGGGGCTCCAACTTCGTTGGACTTTCTGAAATCCCATCCTTTCAGCGTTCCTCGCTGCACTTTTGGTGGCCAGTGAGAAGCCGCTGCGGCTGTTTGATTTCGCCATATGCCTTTTCGACTGTTGACCGGATGAAATTGGGATTCAGCATGCATCAGCTCTGTGGTTGTTTCTAAACTTTTACCGTGTATATGATGCGTAATAAACAATGGCTAATCGTTGTATTTCAAAACCCTAGCCGCAAACCAAAAACCGCCTGTTCTATGCATCTAATAATGACTAAAGAAGAACGTTTGGCTGAACTCCAGATAACCCCCCCCCCCCCACCAGTCGGCCCCCAACTTTTGTATTTCGGTTCAGAGTTATCTTACCGGGCATTAAAGTATACCAAAATGCTCGCCGGAGCAAGACGAGCATTTTGGTATACTTTACACACCTGTAGATAAACAGGGAGCCGAGATACAAAAGTTGGAGGCCGGCTGGACGGGGGTTATCTGTGGTCTTACCCAACGTTCGACGCATTTCCGATCTATAACAATTTGGATAACCTGATAAACGCCGGGAAAGTTAGCAGCGGCACCGCCGGATCAGTTTTAATTTATGGCCAAACTCCAGACACCCCCAGCCGACCCCCACCTACCGTATCTCAGCCCCCTGTTCATGTACAGGTGTGTAAAGTAAACTAAAATGTTCGTCTTGCTCTGGCGAGGCGTTTGGTATACTTTACACACCTGTAGCTGAACAGGGAGCCGAGATACAAAAGTTGGAGGCCGGCTGGGGAGGGGGGGGGGGTTATCTGGAGCTTACCTTATTTTTTGTTAGTCGAAACCGGTTTGCAAAAGGATTCGAGGGTTGTTTCCGCACTGGCAGTTGCGGAGTGGACCAGGGCAGGGGCTCAAGTTTATCACCCCAAATCGTTATACGCATATTGGTGACAATTGACAACACACAAAACACAGTTGAAGGCAGCTTATTGAGCAAGACAAAACACATTAAATCTTAAGGGGCAGGTACAAGGTAGCAGATTTTGTTGCGCGTGGGCCAGCTTTAGCAGCATCTGCGCACTAATTCTAGTCATGGAGGTTGGGTAAAGGTTGCTTAACGGGGGGCAAATAACGGGGGTGGAAACAATTTTTGTATTTATAAAGCATATCCTGCGATTTTGAAAACGCCATCGGATAGAGCGTCGACAATTATACTAAGAGATTTAAGTTCAATTCAAAGAACCTGATTTTTAACGATTTTTAATTAATTAAACTTTTTAGCTTAATAAAGTAATAATTTTAAATTGTGGTATTTCGGGCTGAAATTTAATCTCTGAGTATAATTTTTGGCGCTCTATTCGATGGCACTAATGAAATCCCGACAAAAAGCGGCAAAACGCCGAAAATGCTGATCACCTTATCGTTGTACTTCATGACCAGCCGATGGTTTTGTTTTTTTAATAACTAATTCATAATACATTATTTCGGGCTCAAATTAAATTTTTTGATGCTCAATCCGATGGCATTCATGAAATCCTGTTCAAACAGCCAAAAATACCGAAAATTCCGGTCGCCTAATCGTTATGCGTCATGGACGACCCATAGCTTTGTTTCTTTAATAACGAATTTAAATTACATTATTTCGGGCCGCAATTAATTATCTTAGTATATTTTGCGCGGCTCTATCTAATGGTATGCTTCAATTGGCACGACAGGTCCCTATAGGGAAAAATGGTTTCCACCCCCGTTATTTGTCCCCCCCCCCCCGTTAAGCAACCTTTACCATGTCAGGCGCAAGTGTCGCGGCGCAAGTGTCAAGGTACCCTGCCCGCTAACAGTCCAGAACCTAAATCAGCCCGAAATACCACAATTTAAAATTATTACTTTATTAAGCTAAAAATTTTAATCAATTAAAAATCGTTAAAAATGAGGTTTTTCGACTGAAATAAAATCTATTAGTATAATTGTCGACGCTCTATCCAATGGCGTTTTCAAAATAGCAAAATAGCATTAGAAATACAAAAATTGTTTCCACCCCCCGTTATTTGTCCCCCCCCCCCCCGTTAAGCAACCTTTACCATGTCAGGCGCAAGTGATGCGGCGTAAGTGTCACGGTACCCTGCCCGCTAACAGTCCAGAACCTATTTTGCTCTCGACACACCTGGCACATGCGTTTCACATGTGTATCTGCGATAATCCGCCTCGGCTCCCGCCTTCTGTTAGCAGGGGGAATCCTGGGGGTCAGTTGTTTACTCGCCCATGGCGCCATCGAGCATTTTCCTGCGCCCCTCTCCCTATCTCTCCACACTTCACATCGATTTCCCCGCCTTTGCCACCACCCCGCGGGGTTCCGCCGACCAGTTTGAACGCCGAAAACAATAATTTGCCTCCATGGACAACAAGCCCCGATTCGTCGTATCGATCACTCGTTCTGATCATTAGGCTCTCAAGATCTTTCGCGTTATCGGGGGGGGGGGGGCAACTTTTTCTTAAGATCCAATTTTTTTAAATGAAGAGCGGATGTGTTTCTAAACTGTTTTCTGTTTACTGTTCCTTAACGTAAAACTTTACGATTTAAAAAAAATACAACAATATCGACGTTTCGACAAAAAAAATCGGCGTTTTGGCCAAATTCCGACGTTTTTTTTAACTTTTGTGATCGTTGTTAGATAGTTTTGCTGGTTGAAATATATTTTTATTTTGCTAAAAACATTATGAAAATAACTTCTATTGAGCTACTAGGGATTTCTAGAATAATACAAAAAAAATTGCCGCCCCCTCCGATAATCGAAAAGAACCGTGTTTTTATTATTCCTAAACGCAAAATTTTACGATTTTTTGTACTGAAAAAACACCAACATCGATTTTTCGGTAAAGGTTGCTTAACGGGGGGGGGGGGAATGACGGGGGTGGAAACCTTTTTTTCCCCTATAGGGACCTGTCGTGCCAATTCAAGCATGCCATCGGATAGAGCGTCGAAAAATATACTAAGAGAATTAATTTCGACCCGAAATAATGTAATTTAAATTCGTTATTAAAGAAACAAAGCTATGCGCCGTCAGTGACGTCAGGTGAACGTAATTTTTTGGTTTCTTGTCTGTTTTAACGGGGTTTCATGAATGCCATCGGATAGAGCATCAAAAAATATACTAAGAGATCTAATTTCAGCCCGAAATACCACAATTTAAAATTATTACTTTATTACACTAAAAAGTTTAATCCATTAAAAATCGTTAAAAATGAGGTTTTTCGACTGCAATTAAATCTAATTTTGAACGCTTTATCCGATGGCGTTTTCAAAATAGAAAAATAGCTTTAGAAATAGAAAAATTGTTTCCACCTCCGTTATTTGCCCCCCCCCCCCGTTAAGTAACCCTTACTGATTTGTCGAAAAATTCTTTTCACCCCCGTTATTTGCCCCCCCCCCCCGTTAAGCAACCTTTACCGATTTCTCGACAAGCGTTTTTACCAAAATTTCGAAAATTTTTTTAAAGGTTTTAGATAGTTTTGCTGGTTGAAATATAGTGTTATTTGATTAAGACTACTATTAAAACGCTTCCTATTTAGTTACGCGGCATTTCTCAACGTATACAAAAAAAGTTCGATATCTTTAATGGGTACCGCTGTTTATCAGACGTTCACCTTTCCCTTATCAATTCGGTAACCTCTTTTTTCTGGTTGATTCCCCCCACCTGCCTGATATCACAGGTTGTTTATCATTTCGTAGCCAACGACGTCTCGTTTTGCAGCAATGTTTTCTTGCCCTGACCCCTTCCTTCTTCGTTTTCCTCAAGGGTTTGATGCAATTCGGACGCGCTTGGCAGGCCAGACGTGCTTTTTGGGCCTTCGATTTTTGCGGGGGATCGATAGTTGCCCCGCAAGTTGCTGGGTTCGCGGACCTTTCGCATTAGCGGGGGGGGGGGATTTTTTCTAAGGATCAAAGTTTTCGAATATAAACAAAGCCAGCGTTTCTGATGCAACTGTTTTACTGACCCTAAACAAAAAATTTTACAAGTTTTTATGAAAAATACAAAAAACATCGGTATTTCCACGAAAATTTGAAATGGAACGTTTGGTACTAATGCACTTGAGGGGGGCAGTCCGGATTTTCACTACGAGACGTTCCAAATGGCTTTTTTTTAAACTCTAAGCCTCGGGAAAAGCAAAGCTAAGCCTAAGCCTGGGCTTGGCTTCAGGAAACGAAGTCTCGGCTTAGCTTGACCCTTAATGATCCCATTTCGATCTCGTAAGGTAATTTAAAGCTTACGATCGGCTTAGCCTGGGCCTAAGCTTAAGCTAAGCATAGTTAAAGCAAAGTTAATTCTGGGCTTAAGCTAAAAACCAAGTAGCTTAAGCGGAGCGTCTCGTAATTTCAGACTACCCCCTCCCCCCCACCTAACTGCATCAGCACCGAACATTTTCTGACTGGTTTGCTTTTCCCCTTAAAATTTCAGCTCAAAATGTGTTTTCCCCGTTTTTTTTCGGGTTTGTTTTCCACCTAAAATATTGTTAAATTTACTAAAAACACTAGTAAAGCGCTCAGTATACGTTACTATCGATGTTTCTGGAATTGTGGTAAAAAAACTTGCCCCCCCCGATAATGCGAAAGAACGCACGATCGTGCCACTCTTACGTCACTTCCTTTCCCTATTTTCATGATGAAATACTGTCCATTCTCTCGCACCAGATTTTCCTTTCTACGCTTCAACCTACCTTTCAATTTCCAGAACATGCCGATCTCGAAGGTCCACGCCCGCCAGATCTACGACTCCCGCGGCAATCCGACCGTCGAGGTCGACCTGTTCACCGACAAGGGCGTCTTCCGCGCCGCCGTCCCATCCGGCGCCTCGACCGGCATCTACGAGGCCCTCGAGCTGCGCGATGGCGACAAGTCCGTCCACCTCGGCAAGGGCGTGCTCACCGCCGTCCGCAACATCAACGAGAAGATTGGGCCGGCCCTCGTCGCCAAGGTAAATTGGTTTTCGGGTTCTTTTGCATTATCGGGGGGGCAAAATTTTGTTGTTGAAGGCTAGAAATTCCAAACAACTTAATCGAACGTATTTTATAATGTTTTTTTTTGCATAAAAACTATATTCACTTCCCTATATTCTAACTAGAAAAAGTATCTTAAATCTTTCTAATTTTTTCTGAATAAGTCGAAATCTGGTCGAACAACCGGTTCTGGACTGTTAGCGGGGGGTGGCAAATTTTTCCCTGTGATTCCTCTACGGCCCTATAACGAAATATAAACCTGTTTTATATCATTTTACATAATTCTTGCATATAAAAACAATATTAAAAAATTATGAAAAATTTCGAACTATTTTGGTCAAAAATTAAAAATGACCAAAGAGTGTAAAAATTTTTAGATATATTTTTATGACTTTCTAGCGATCAAAAACTGCTAAAAAGGCTACAACAATGCATACTATAACATCAAAAGGTAGAAAAACAGAAAGTGGGTTTTCCTCCTGCTAAAATCCCCCCCCGCTAACAGTCCAGAACCGAAAACCGATATTTTTATATTTTTAGTGAGCTTTGTAAACGCGTATTTTTCCAGGAATAGTAGAATACAGTTTAGAAACACTTCCGCTATTTTTTATTAAAAAATCGGATTCTGAAAAAGCAGTTGCCCCCCCCCCCGGATAATGCAAAAGAACCAATTTTCGATTTTGCGTCGGCATAAGGCTTTCTAGAACTTTGACGTGACCCAGCAGCGTGAGATCGACCAGTTCATGCTCGCCCTGGACGGCACCGACAACAAGGTAATCCGCTTTCACTTTTCCCGCAATACTTTTATTTAGAACGTGCTCGGAGCCAACGCCATCCTCGGCGTGTCGCTCGCCGTCTGCAAGGCCGGGGCCGTCCACAAGGGACTCCCCCTCTACAAGTACATCGCCGAGCTGGCCGGCATTGATAAGGTCAGCTAATTTTAATTTTTTTAAAACATTTGTTGTATCGGTTAAATTTCTATTTTAGGTCATCCTTCCCGTGCCGGCGTTCAACGTCATCAACGGCGGCTCGCACGCCGGCAACAAGCTCGCCATGCAGGAGTTCATGATCCTGCCCGTCGGAGCGCAGACGTTCGCCGAGGCGATGCGGATGGGATCTGAGGTTTGTTTTCTTATTTCTTCCTTAAACCCGCTTTTTTAGGTCTACCACCACCTGAAGGCCGAGATCAAGAAGCGCTATGGCCTCGACGCGACGGCGGTCGGCGACGAGGGCGGCTTTGCCCCCAACATCCAGGACAATCGGGAAGGCCTCGACCTCCTCAAGTCGGCCATCGAGAAGGCAGGGTACACCGGCAAGGTAAAAACACATCGTTATTTTTTTGGAGAAATACATTTTCAGATTAAAATCGGCATGGACGTTGCGGCCTCCGAATTCTTCAAGGACGGGAAGTATGACCTGGATTTCAAGGTAACGCTCCAAAGGTTGCTTTAACAATCCGTTTCTTAGAACCCCAACTCCGACCCATCCAAGTGGATCAGCGGCGACGAGCTGGCCGACCTCTACCAGTCGTTCATCAAGGAATACCCGGTCGTCTCCATCGAAGACGGCTTCGACCAGGACGACTGGGAGCACTGGGGCAAATTCATGGCGAGCACGGACCTGCAGCTCGTCGGCGACGACTTGACGGTGACCAACCCGAAGCGAATCCAGACGGCCATCGACAAGAAGAGCTGCAACTGCCTGCTGCTAAAGGTAACGGCTTGGGCGCTTCTTGACTTCAGTTTTTTTAAATTAATTTCCGATATTTTGGTATTTTTAGGTCAACCAAATCGGCTCCGTCACTGAGTCGATCGAGGCGGCCACCCTCTCGCGCAAGAATGGCTGGGGCGTGATGGTCTCTCATCGGTCGGGTGAGACCGAAGACACCTTCATCGCCGATCTCGTCGTCGGGCTCGCCACAGGACAGGTACATTTTTTGGTTCTTTTCCATTATCGGGGGGGGGGGCAATTTTTTTCTTAAAATCGAATTAAATCTCTGAACGGTTTTGAATGTAAAACCTAAGCGTAAAAACTTTACAATTTTTTATTAAAAAACGCAAAAATTATTGATTTTCCACCAAAAATGGACGTTTTGCCCAAATTTTCGACTTTTTGAAAGATCTTCAGGTATTTTTCCAGTTTAAGTTTAAATATAGTTTATTTGAGTAATACATTACCCAACTGCTTCCGATTAACTTCGTAGGCATTTAGCAAAACTTAGACAAAACAGTTTGCCCCTCCCCCCGGTAATGGGAAAGAGCCCATTTTCTTCGGTTGACACTTCCTAACTTGTCTCTTTTAGATCAAGACCGGAGCCCCGTGCCGCTCGGAGCGTCTCGCCAAGTACAACCAGATCCTGCGCATCGAGGAGGAGCTGGGCCCGGATGCCGTCTACGCCGGCGAGCACTTCCGCAACCCCCAAGGCAAATAAGCGGTATCCCTTATCGCCCCCTCAAAAATGTCCCCCTTTAAATTTTGGCCCATCCCCGTAGCATAGAATAGGATCCTGTGTTTGTGTACCATTCCTACGTTGTGCTTTTTTCAATTTCTTTTTCTGTAGCCCCTTAACATTGCCAATTTCCCAGTCCCCGTGCGATTTTTGAAACCTGTAATTCCCGTACCATTCACTACCATGATGTCATAAATATTTGATCAGCCGCTTAACTTGTAAAAATGTGCGCAGCAATGGTTATACAAATCTAGTAGTTTTTGGAGAAGATCTTGAGGGAATTCTTAGGCATGTGGCTTTCGTTTATCGGGTAGGGTGCGGAACTTTTTTGTATAGTTCTAGAAATATCTAGGAACTTAATAGGAAGTGTTTTATCAATGTTTTTAGAAAAATAAAACAATATTTCAGCGAGAAAAGCTACCGCGAGCTTTCAAAAAGTCGAAAAACGGCCATTGTTGGCCGAAAAATCGCCTTTTCTTGTATTTTTTAATACAAAATTCGTAAAGTTTAGGAATTGTAAAAACCGTTTAGAAACACTTCCGCTATTTGTATCTGAAAAATTGGATGCTGAGAGCACAAAGTTGCCTTCCCCTAATCCGAAAGAACCTGAAATTTGTATTCGTCAGGGTGGTGGATTGCGTTACCACCTGGCTTTATGGCCAAAAAGGGGTTTTCGTCAGCGTTTTCCGTTTGGCTTAGCTGTTGGCTTTCCGTTTCAAGTACCAAAACGCACGGCCAAAACCTGCAAAATGGATGTGGGTCCGGGGGTATCGACTAGGCTGACGACATTCCCGATCTCGCGAACGCTATCCGGCCACTGTCAACGCGCGGATGCTTTTGCCTGCTCCCTTTCGGGCCTGAGCCGTACGCATCTCCTTAACGGCCCGGGACCCCTCCCCCTCCGGGAAGGAACCCCTGGCCACGCATCGCTTGGCGCGGACGTCCGGTCTCCGACCGAGAGAGTGCCGCCAGTGATCCCAGCCTCACTCCGTCCACCACACCCTGCGACCAAGAAGCTGGCTCACAGGCGCCCGCCACGACGCCCCGCGGTTCTGAGTGGCGACTGGGGCTATATAAACGTTAGGTACGAGATAGTGGGTGAAAACCGGAAGCGCAGCATGTGGAAGTACCGGCCCAGACAGCGAGACCTGTGCGGAGACGCCATACATCGAGGGTCTATGTACGGGGAAGAGGGCACAGGCAAGTGAGAGATTGGAGGGCACCGACGACACGAGAAGGGCTGGCTTCCCGCCACGATTGCTCTACAACGGTGCTGACGACGCGACCTAGATGCGAGAGACGAGACGGGCAGTGTCGAGAAACGGGGCGGAGACGGCGGTGAACATGTGGAATTCGGGGGCTTGAGCTTTGCTGAAAAATCATTGATAGTTCGCTTTGACAATCGCTTTGCAAAGCGATTTGACGACCTGTACATCTTTAAAAACGTTATGAGCTTTCTAAACTTTATTTAGAGACTTTTTAGTTTCCGGAAATACCTAGAAAATGTTAGTTTTTGAGGGTAATTTTCCCCTTGCAAGGGACACCTTACCTTTCCAGGCAGCAGGGGAGTAGAAAACATAGAAGCACCTCGTAGTTCAGCCGATTTTACGATTGATTGTTTGGTTCTTTTGCATTATCGGGGTAAGCATTTTATTTTTATTTTTAGTTTTTACTTTCATTACTCTAGAAATCCCTAGTAACCTAATAGTGGGTATTTTCATAATGTTTTCCGTAAAATAAACAAACTTTAGCGAGAAAAACTTTCTATAACGTTGAAAAGTTTCAAAAAGTGACATTTTGGTCTACAAAAACGGCCATTTTTGGTCGAAAAATCGACGTTTTTTGTAATTTTAATCAAAATTTAAAAATTTTTTACATTTAGAATAAGTAAAACACAGTTTAGAAACACTTCCGCGATTTATATTTGAAAAATTCGTCCCTAAGAACTTTCTCCGCCCCCCCCGCCCGCCCCGATAATGGGAAAGAATAGATTTGCCTTTTCTCTTGCCGTTCTCCATCGATTTTCTTGCCATTTAAAAACTCTTGTTTTTCAGGTATGATACTGCCTCGATTAGGTGAAGCCAAGCAGCTTCTCCGGCCCCACTACCTGTGCAACGTGCTGCTGTCGCTCACATTCATCGTGGCAAAGTCGGTGCCAGGTTTGGAGGGCTTCTTTTTGTTAATTTTAGTATTTATTTTTAGTGATCTGCGAGTCGCTCTTTACTTACGAAGATGTGTGCGAGATCGACTCTCGCGAGCGCGAGATCTTGATGTTCCTCGCCGTCGTGATCGTTTGGAAGGGCCGGAAAGCCACCAACTGGCTGCACTACATTTCGAACGTTTTCCTCTTCTCAAAGGTAGGGCGGAAAATTAAGCGTTATTTCCGTTTTTTTTTAGATTGCCAGCGGGATGCTGTTTCTGCGCGCTGACCCGCTGCTCGGCATCGTCTACGTTTTCCTGGTGCTCGTGCTGGCCGTCGTTTTCCCGGAGCCAATGTACGATGGTCCCGAAAACATCACCTATTTCCAGGTTTGCGTTTTTTCTTTATTTTTTTGGACTCAAGCGATACTGGAGTATAGTAGGCAACTTTTGATGGTTCTTTCGCGTTATCGGGGGGGGGGGAGGACCGAACTTTTTGTTGTATAAGTCTAAAAGGTCTAGTGTTCAGCAAGTATTTTGCTAGTGTTTTAATAAGATGTAACTATATTGCAGCTAAAAACTATCGATATTTGATGTCGATAATTAGTAATTTGATGTTTGAAAAATTTGTGTTAAAGTTTTCACGTTTAGTAATTTGATGTTTGAAAGATTAGGTTCCTAGAAAAAGCCCCCCGATAACGCGAAAGCACCCTTTTGATCAGTTATTTGTCGTTTTAAACGAGAAACAGAAAATCGTCTTTGGACTTTATTAAGCCATATTTTTTTAGGGCGAAGGCCTCTTCCGCGAGCTCACCACAAACAAGAAGAACACCTGGATCATCATGTTCTACACTACATGGTCGCCCGACTGCCGCCACGTCAACCCGATCTTCGCCGAGCTGTCGCAGCGCTTCGAGCTGGCCAACCTCAAGTTCGGTAAGCTGGACATCGGGCGATGGGCCGCCGAAGGGGAGCGCTTCCGCGTCAACGCCCATCCAACCAGCCGGCAGCTGCCCACGATTTGCGTGTTTGAAGGTACGATACGGTGTTCTGGTTCTTTCGCATTATCGGGGGGGGGGTGCATCTTTTTGGCTTAGGATCCTTTTTTAAAAATATCATTAGTGAAAGTGTTTCTAAACAGGTTTTACTATACCTAAACGAGAAGACTTTACGAACTTTTATTAGAAAAAAATGCCAGAAATATCGAGTTTTCGACCGAAAAAGGCCAATTTCTAAATTTCGACGTTTTCAAACAATTTTGAAAAGGTATCTTTTTTATATCTGGTTGAAATATAGTTATATTTTACGAAAACCCCTATTAAAACACTTCCTAATCAGCTGCGATACATTTCTAGACTTATACGAAAAATTTCGGGCCCTCGTTAATGCAAAAAAAACCTTCGTTCTTTCTTTATCTTTAGCAACCGGGGTTCTTTTTATCTTTATCCGTTTTTGTTCAGATGGAAAAGAGATCCGGAGAAGACCGCTCGTCAACGACAAGCACCGCGCAATCCCCTTCGTCTTCAACGTGGACAACTGCGTGCTCGAGTTCGACCTGATCAATCTCTACAACAAGTGCAAAGACACCACCAAGGGCAAGCAACCGGCCGCCAAAAAGAACGAGTAATTGACGGATTTTGCGATGGTTTTGTGATTTTTGTGCAATCGTTGGTTGTTTGATATCCTAGTCGTCGCCTTAGTTAAACGGTTCTTTCGCATTATCGGGGGGGGGATTTTTTGTCTATTCTAGAAATGTGTAAATTAATAGGAAGTGTTTTGATAGTGTTTGTAGTAAAATAGAGAAAAACTGGAAAACTATCTAAAAACTCACAAAGTTTGAAAAGTGTAAATTTTAGTAAAAAAATTGTTATTTTTGCTGTTTTTGATACAAATTTGTAAAGTTTTTACATTTAGGAATAGTAAAAAACCGTCTAGAAAGATTTCCAAAATTTATATTTGAAAAGTTGCATCCTAAGTTATAAAAAAGTGCCCCCTCCCGGGTAACGCGAAAGAACCGTTAGATCTATCAAATTTAGCTGGTTCCGGATTTTGTAATGATTTTTGTGCCCCGCCCGCACTCCATTCTTCCAAAATGGGATCTCGATCAGCCAATTGCTCACCTACCAGGATGCCTTTACCCCAAAATTTGCCGGAGATTCTCTCATTTCGCCAAGCCGCTTGATACTCGCATTGTCACGCTTTTGCTCTTTTTTGTTCGTTGCGTTTTCTGTGTGTTTTCCCTTTTCGCGCCTAGTTAGCAAGGATTTAATAAAATTGAGTGCTTTCCAGATGTGCGGGTAGCCGGTAAAAATGGCCGTCGTTGAAGCAGCACCGCCGCCGTCGGCCGAAGCGGCCGGGCTGGCCGATCAGCTGGCCCAAAAGGAGATGGATTATAATGTGAGTGGAATGCTGTAAATTTTAGATTACCGATCTATTTAAGCAACCGCCTTTTTGCGTAAATTTTCGAGATATCAAGGTGGTGCTAGATGGCAGTTTTGGGCGTCAAGAAACTTCACAAAATTCAGGAACTCCAATCGCTCTTCACCAAGTACAAGCTGAAGCAGAAGGTGAAGTATGACAAACTGCGCGACGAGGTGATGGCGTACGTGAAGAGGACGGGCGCATCGGCGGAGAAAGAGGTAGCTTTACCATGATTAAAACCAAAGGTTGGCCTAGTAATTGCAATATGTCTTTGTTATGTTTTTTAGTAGATTTTCACTATATTTGAAGTAGAAACTTTTGGGAGCTATTTATGTTGCGTGGCCCGAAGGGCGCTAAAAATCTTTCCCGATCTGTCTGTTTAAAAAGCTAGTTTTCGGGCTAGTTTTTGCGCTGAGTTCGAATTTCACAGTTTTAGACTACACGAACTAAACTTTAGAGCGCAACCTACAAAAAAATAGCAGTCGGAAGCATTTTTCCGCTTGAGTTGCCGACCTGTGGTTTTTTTTGTAATATAAAGCGATTTTTCACGGCTAAGCTAAAATTTTTATATCAATGTACAAAACTATCTTAGAAAACTTGCTTCTAGGCTGCTCAGGCAAAAAAATATCTCTAACTTTTGGATGTTAGAAAGACGTTTGAAAAGTCGAAATGTTGACCATTTTGGGTCGTCAAAAATATATTTTTCGGCGCAAAATTAAACTTCTACGTGGTTTTTATATTCAGGTATAGCTAGAGATTTATCCGCTCTTCTCCAAAAACGTGAAGTGTTGCGAGGCCAATTCCTAATTCCCACAAAATTTAGAACAACGCCGCGCTCATGATTCGGATATCGGAGACGGAGCTGAAGCTAGAGGAGGCGGAGAGAAGAGCCGAAACTCATGCACGCGAGGTGCAGAGGCGCCAGACTCAGATCAACGACCAGATCATTGTGATTAGGGTGAGAAAAAGCAAAGGATCCTTGAAATCGCAAAGTTTAGAACCTGGAGGGCCAGCTTCGCTCCCGAAGGCCGCTGTCTGACATCGAACGCAGCGAGCGGCGCCGGATGAACGAGATGATCGACATGGACAGCATTCAGGCGCAGATGACGTACAAGGACGAGCGGATTGTCGAGCTGAACAACGTGATCCTGGAGCGCGAGCGGCAGATTTTGGATTTGCAAGAATTGGTGGGTGACTAAAAGCATCTGGACCAGTCTAAAACCTAGAGGTTCTTTCGCATTATCGGGGGGGGGGGGCCAATTTTTTTTATCGGGATCTAATTTTTCAACATTAAACAGTGGAAGGCTTTCTAAATTGTTTTTACTAATCCTGAGATACAAAACTTTACAACTATTATTTGAAAAATATCGACTTTTCGACCAAAATTGCCAACGTTTTCAAAGATTTTTTAAAGTTTCTAAGTAGTTTCTCTACTGGAAAAATAGTTTTGTTATATTAAAAACATTGTTAAAATAATTCCTATTAAGTTACTAGGCATTTCTAGTTTTATATAAATCGACATACCGATGTTTCGACAAAAATGGCGGGTTTTGACCAGAATGTCGGCTTTTCGAAAACATTTCAAAGTTTTTAGATAGTTTTATCGTTGAAATATCGTGAGGTGTTACAAAAACGCATCTAAAACACTTCCTATTAAGTTACTTTAGATTCCCAGACTTAGACAAAAAATCCCCCCCGATAATGCGAAAGAGCCAAAGTAGATAATAGGTACACACAATAAAAACATTGTTTTAGGTTCGTGAGCACGACGAGGTGGCGAGCAGCAAGAAGCAGGCAATGCGCTTGGTGCAGAAACGCTTTGAGGTGGGTACAAACTGGAAAACCAGCTTTTGGAATAAAAATAATGATTTTATGACCCTATATTATATTATTTCGCCTCGTTTTATTGGCTGACCAGCGGGGGAGGAGCCGCTTCGCGACTCTCCCCCGCTGGACCCCGTCTAGGCCTTATGAATCGAGCACCCTTCCACAGACAGTTATCCTGAAGAAAGAAAAACCCATCTCCCATGCAAAGCTCTTTGTATTGGCATGCGGCGCAAGATTGAACTGTTAGTCTCGTTATTCGGCCTGCGGCGCATGTTTGATCGGCTAGGTCGCTACCTCATCCTGCGGCCCAAGCTTGAGGGATTAGCCTCCTTTTTTGGCCTTTGGCGACAGCTTGAGCGGCTGGCTTCGTTCTAAAGCCTGCGGCCCTAGCTTGAGCGGCTGGCTTCGTTATAAAGCCTGCGGCGCTAGCTTGAGCGGCTGGCTTCGTTATAAAGCCTGCGGCGCTAGCTTGAGCGGCTGGCTTCGTTCTAAAGCCTGCGGCGCTAGCTTGAGCGGCTGGCTTCGTTCTGAAGCCTGCGGCGCTAGCTTGAGCGGCTGGCTTCGTTCTAAAGCCTGCGGCGCTAGCTTGAGCGGCTGGCTTCGTTCTAAAGCCTGCGGCGCTAGCTTGAGCGGCTGGCTTCGTTCTAAAGCCTGCGGCGCTAGCTTGAGCGGCTGGCTTCGTTCTGAAAGCCTGCGGCGCTAGCTTGAGCGGCTGGCCTCGTTCTAAAGCCTGCGGCGCTAGCTTGAGCGGCTGGCTTCGTTATAAAGCCTGCGGCGCTAGCTTGAGCGGCTGGCTTCGTTATAAAGCCTGCGGCGCTAGCTTGAGCGGCTGGCTTCGTTCTAAAGCCTGCGGCGCTAGCTTGAGCGGCTGGCTTCGTTCTGAAAGCCTGCGGCGCTAGCTTGAGCGGCTGGCTTCGTTCTGAAAGCCTGCGGCGCTAGCTTGAGCGGCTGGCTTCGTTCTAAAGCCTGCGGCGCTAGCTTGAGCGGCTGGCTTCGTTCTAAAGCCTGCGGCGCTAGCTTGAGCGGCTGGCTTCGTTATAAAGCCTGCGGCGCTAGCTTGAGCGGCTGGCTTCGTTCTGAAGCCTGCGGCGCTAGCTTGAGCGGCTGGCTTCGTTCTAAAGCCTGCGGCGCTAGCTTGAGCGGCTGGCTTCGTTCTGAAGCCTGCGGCGCTAGCTTGAGCGGCTGGCTTCGTTCTGAAAGCCTGCGGCGCTAAGCTTGAGCGGCTGGCTTCGTTCTAAAGCCTGCGGCGCTAAGCTTGAGCGGCTGGCTTCGTTCTAAAGCCTGCGGCGCTAGCTTGAGCGGCTGGCTTCGTTCTAAAGCCTGCGGCGCTAGCTTGAGCGGCTGGCTTCGTTCTGAAGCCTGCGGCGCTAGCTTGAGCGGCTGGCTTCGTTCTGAAGCCTGCGGCGCTAGCTTGAGCGGCTGGCTTCGTTCTAAAGCCTGCGGCGCTAGCTTGAGCGGCTGGCTTCGTTCTAAAGCCTGCGGCGCTAGCTTGAGCGGCTGGCTTCGTTCTAAAGCCTGCGGCGCTAGCTTGAGCGGCTGGCTTCGTTCTAAAGCCTGCGGCGCTAGCTTGAGCGGCTGGCTTCGTTCTAAAGCCTGCGGCGCTAGCTTGAGCGGCTGGCTTCGTTATAAAGCCTGCGGCGCTAGCTTGAGCGGCTGGCTTCGTTCTGAAGCCTGCGGCGCTAGCTTGAGCGGCTGGCTTCGTTCTAAAGCCTGCGGCGCTAGCTTGAGCGGCTGGCTTCGTTCTGAAGCCTGCGGCGCTAGCTTGAGCGGCTGGCTTCGTTCTAAAGCCTGCGGCGCTAGCTTGAGCGGCTGGCTTCGTTCTAAAGCCTGCAGCGCTAGCTTGAGCGGCTGGCTTCGCTCTAAAGCCTGGGCGCTAGCTTCAGCGGCTAGCTTCGTTCTAAAGCCTGCGGCGCTAGCTTGAGCGGCTGGCTTCGTTATAAAGCCTGCGGCGCTAGCTTGAGCGGCTGACTTCGTTCTAAAGCCTGCGGCGCTAGCTTGAGCGGCTAGCTTCGTTCTAAAGCCTGCGGCGCTAGCTTGAGCGGCTAGCGTTGTTCCAAACTCTGCGGCGCTAGCTTGAGCAGTTAGCTTGATTCCTTGGCCTGCGGCGCATGCTTGAGCGGGTAGCTTCATTCTATAGGCTGCGGCTTGACTGACTAATTTCATATTAACGTCCCTACACGGAAATCCACTCCGAAGCGTACTTTCCGAGCAAAAAGCAAAACAACTACGATATCCGAGGATCGAACCTCCGCTGGTCAGATTAGCACGGCAAAGCGCTAGCCACTACACCATGCAATGCTTGGCAGCACGCACCAAAAACCCCCTTTTGGACATTGCCCGGGGCAGGGGAAGTAAAAGCGTTGAAAGGCAGATCCAGAGAGACGACCAAACTCGCGAGTGCAACTGGCAAGAATGAGGAAATTTGTATTTTTTCACATTATGCAAATTAGCCTGCCTGGACCCCCAAAAATGAATAAAACCGGCTTTAACTTTGTAAACTTGTATTTTATCGGGATTCTGAAAGCCCCATCGGAAAGAGGAGGGTCGATTCCCCCGGGTGACGGAGAATTAAGGCATTTTATGCACGGGAAGGCCCTCAAATCGGGCCTCGAAAGTGACGGCCGGACACACACACAGACAAAGATACGCGACCAAATTATATAAGGTAGGATAAGTCTTTAATTAGTTTATGGTTTTATGAAATTGCACAACGTTTAGGAGCTGGATTCGAAGACGCACCGCTCGGTCGGCACGGAAATGGACTTTGCGCTGGTGAGCAACGGCTCGCCCGCGCATCGAGCGCGCGCCGAACAGGCGCCGGCGCGGGCACAGCGCGGCTCGAGCCCCGGCAGGGCCATTCGAGGTTGGTGCAGCTCTCTTACATCCTTAGATGCTTAGAACTCTGAAATTAACGTTATAACTTGCGAGAGCTTTATAATTACCGGTTCTCGTCCATTATCGGGGCCGAATTTTGATTTATAAGTCTAGAAATATCTAGTAACTTAATGGAAATATATTTGCAAGGTTTTTAGTCGCGTAAAATTTCATTCTCAACTCAATATTTCATATTCAACCAGGAAAACTATCTAAAAACTTCAAAAAAATTGTAAAGTCGGAACTTTGTAAAAAATCGGCCACTTTTGGTCGAAAAATCGAGATCTTTGTAATTTTTCATGAATTTGTAAAGTTTTTGCATTTAGGAATAGTAAATACAGTTGATAAAAATACTTCCACCATTTATATTTCGAAAATTGGATACTAAGAAAGAAGTTGGTTCCCCCCTGATAATGCGAAAGAACCTAATAACCTATTATCAATTTTACAAGCTTTTTAGGTCAATCCGCCCATGGCACGTCATCGCCGCCTCCGCTTGACCCGAGCGAGGACACTCTCGAAGATGAGGACATGCCCGGAACGAGCTATTCGGTAATTTTTTGTAAAGTTTAAATTTTTTTTACAAGCCAGATTTAGATCTTTTACAAGCTTTTTTTATGATGAAAAATCCAAGCAATAATTTCTAAATTTCTACAGGCCCGCAAAATCGAGGAGAAGCGCAAGAAGAAGCTGCGCGTCACATTCGATCTGCCTTCTTCCGGAAGCGTGGAGTCCGTCTTGCCGTCGCCGCAAAAGCTGCAGCAGTCGAGCAGCGCGGCCGCGTAAGTTATGCAGTAGATAGTGACATAGTACGGGCTTTGATTTTGGCGAAAAGGAGTTCAAAACAATCTTTAAAAAAACCATTTTTAGGCAACTCGCTGAAGACGCGCGTCTCCACGACGAAGCCGACGAATTTGCGCAGGCCATCCACGAGCTGACGGTGCGTAAAGTAGAATTTCTAGGCTATTACGGTCCATTAATTAGGCTATTAGCTATCATAGTCGAGCAAATGGATTTTACGCGAAAATTCACTAGTTCAGGCCGAAAATGAGCATCTGCGAAACGTCGTCGAAGAGCAGCGCGCCCAGCTCGCCGCTCAGCAGTCCCGGCTCGCTGACGTGAGTTTGGATTCTGAATGTTACGCCTAGATTCCTAAAGTTTCCGCGTAGCTACTTAGATTTGGACGTCAGAGGCATACATTTTACGCCTAAAGACGTAAATGTGTAAACTCCACGCGTAAAGCGTGAATACCAGGGGTACAGCAGTAAATTTTGCACGTAGCGACGTAAAGTAAGGCGTAATGACGTAAATTTCACGCGCCTTAACGTAAATGCGTAAATTCTACGCGTAAATGCGTAAAATTTTGCACCTAGCGACGTAAAGTAAGGCGTAATGACGTGAATTCTAGATGTATATTCTTAAATTCTGCGCGTAAATGCGGAAATTTAACGCGCATAGACGTAAATGCGTAAATTCTACGCGTAGCTGTGTAAATTAAAGCGTAAATGCGTAAATTTGATGCGTATATGCCTAAATTCTGCGGGTAAATGCGTAAATTTTGCGCGTGGTGACGTCAATTTCGACGTAACGACGTAAATTCTACGTAATTCGACGATTTGACGCGGAAATGCGTAAATTCTACGTGTATATCCTTAAAATCTAGATCGTAAAATTTAATTATCACTTTCAGTCCGAAGACCAAGCCACCCGCGTGCAAAAGGACAACAAGAGCGCGGTGGCGAAGGCGCGCGTCGTCGCCCAGGCGCGCATCAAGGACCTCGAGGACAAGATGGCCGACCTCAACCGCACTTTCTCAAATCAGGTGCGTAAAAATGATTTGTTTTTTGACGGTATAAGTTGACGGACCAACTACAGAGTGTCCCAAAAAATTACCCCTTAGCAGCCCGCTGTCGGGTCCGATTTTGAGGAATTAGGCATTTGTCGAAAGCTCTCGAAACGGCGAGAAAAAAAAAGCGCTTTTCGTTTTCTAGATTTGGTGGTTTGAATATGTGTTTTTATGACCAAAACCCAGGAAAAATAGCTGCTTTATGCGATTTCCGGTAGAAAATGCGCGCGTTTTTTCGCAAAAGATTTAAAAAAGACAGTAGTGCTAAACATTTTGAGAAACGGATGTCGATTCCTCGCGATGTTTCGTTATTAATTTTCGACTTACGAAATGTTTGAGATTGACAAATTAACGAAATGAAAATATACCCTTTTTTAGCGTAAAAATTGTCGAATCCTTTCAGGTCGAAACGCTTCAAGTCGAAAACGAGACCCTGCGAAGTAGCCGTGAATGGGAAGTGGAAGAGAATGCGAGAATGAGGGAGCGGTTGGCGAAAACGATGTAAGTCGATCCATCAGAATTTCTGACTTACTAATGCTTAGAAAAAGCATACAACGATCGATATTCCAGGGAGAAAAACGCGAAACTGCACAGCGAAGTCGAGGCGGCACTGGTGACCAACTGCGAGCTCGAGCGCAAAATGATCAGTGAGCAGGAGGTGGGAAATATATTTTTATTGATACATAAATTCATCCCTAATTTTTAATACGAATTTAGATAACAAAGAAATACTAGTTCTTGGATTAAAAACGTCAAATCTATAAAAAAATTGTTTTTTCCCCCGATGGTTTAGAACAATACTATTTTTATTCTCAATTGAGGAGCAATTTCGATATTTCTGATTTCATAAATGTTTTTTTTTCAGGTGATGAAATGCATGATGGAGGACCTCGAAGATGCCGAGCGCATCATCGTCCAGCAGGAGGACGAGAAGACGCAGATGGCCGAGGATATTGAGTTGATGAGAGGTACGGCTTTAGCATATCTCTCCATCTCTCTCTATCCCCTCTCTCTCTCTCTCTCTCTTTCTCTCTCTCTACCAACGAGATTTTTAGGCGCGATCATCGCCCAGGAGCAGTTCATCGAGGTGCTCGAGGCCGACATCGTCATCTACGAGGAGCACATCGGAATTTTGAGAGAGTCACTTGGCGCTAGCAAGGTGGGATTCATCGTTAAGCTAGACCGAAGCCAAAGTTAGGCTAAGCCCAAGCTTTTATCTAAACTTAAACCTAAGCTAAGCCTAAGCAAAGCATAAGCCAAGCCTAAGCCGCCTTCCAGGTGGACCATCGTGACCTCATCCGCTCCAAGGCCTTCGAGGCAAAACTGAAGGCGCTCGAGGAAGAGAAGCAGGAGATTGCACGCACCCGGCATGGTGAGCCTATTTTTTCGGGTTTTTCTTGGGGTTTTGAATTTTCTGGACGTGCGGTAGAAATTGATTAGCATGAAAAATTTGGCAATCAAAATTCTGGGAATTCATCGATTTCTGGCTCTGCTTGTGCAATTCTCTTTCTCTGCCTCGCTCTCGCTCTCTCTCTCTCTCTCTCTCTCTCTCTCTCTCTCTCTCTCTCTCTCTCCTCCCTCCCTCCCTCCCTCCTTCCATTACGTCCCTCTTACCATAATCCGCTTACAGAGGAACGTCCAGAGTATTCCTGCGTTCTCATGCTTTTTTCGGGATGATTTAGTTTTAAATATTCATGAGAAACTACGCATTTCCGCCACTTTTTTGAGTCATCGTTCCGTAGCTCGTGACGCTTGGCCTGGGCAAGCTAACAGGGATTCTTTGAGGAACGTTTTCGTCAAAAAAAAGCAAAAATCCAGGTCTATCTCGCTCTCGCTCACACACTCTCTCTCTCGCTCTCTCTCTCTCTCGGTCGCTCTCGCTCTAGCTTACTTTCGTTCTCATCTCAAGGCTAGCGGGGGTTCTTTGAGCAGATTTTGCCCGGAGAGGCTAGCAAAGAACCTGAGGAAGCGAAGAAACGCTCAAAACCCGGAAATGGTTCGTTTGTCGAAAATCAGATAGTTTAGCGTAGCATTAAATCGCGTAAGTTTCGCCGACGATGTGTTTTTGTTAATTGAATTTTAGTCCGTAGTTCATAGCATCATTTCTATATTTTTATAACAGAAAAATTTCACAAGAAAAATACCCGACATTTCATAGCTGACGACGGAACAGTACAGTCAGTGGGCAAACAAAAACGTAGAAAGGGGAACGGAAAAAATGGGCTGCAAAACATGAGCACTTGACTTTGGCGGGGAGGGGGCAATGAAAAAGGGCAAATATACCCTCAATGCCAAACAGCAGACCCAATAAAAATACATAAATATCAAGATGGGTTTTGCCCGTAGATAGGCCGGTTTCGGAATATAATTCTCAAATAATGGAACAAGAAATGGTAATGGAAAGTAGAGGAAACATAGTAACGAAAAATATTAGATGATTTCGGATTACGAAAATTTAATTTAGCTCGCTCTCTCTCACTCTCTCTTTCTCTCTCTCTCTATCCATCACTCGCTCTCGAACTGGATTTACCTATCTCTCCCACTCTCTCTCTCTCTCTCTCTCTCTCTCTCTCTCTTCAAAATTAAACCCGTAGCGTGGCAAGTAAGTGCGAGAGAGACAGAGAAACAGAGCGAGAAAGAGTGAGAGGGACAGAGAATGAGAGAGAAAGGAGAGGGGGTGAGAGAGAAAAAGAGAAATAGAAACAGATAGCTGCGATGCTTCCTTTAAACAAGCGGATCCTTCGACGTCCGTCTACCTACCGTATCTTCTGATAGCGTACTCGACATTCCGGAATCTTCCGTTTGACTGCTGTCCGTAGTAAAAGCCGGATTCCGGTGCCCCAGCTTTTCGCTTATGATGGTGGCGCTGCGTGGGGGTAGGCCCTGAAAAAGCGGTTTTTAACAGCGAGAAAGAGAGAGGGAGAGAGGGAGAGAGAGAGAGAGAGAGAGAGAGAGAGAGAGGGATGGAAAGAGAGAAAGGATTTTCATTAACGTACCCTCTTTATTGTCCCGTACTCCCGGTAAGAGTATCCATTATCGATTACCGTCTCGGGAAGCGCGCTAACGACCTAGATATCCCATTATTAAAAGTGTTAAAAACAGATTTGTATTTTTTTGCCATAGCTCTGGTACCTTCGATCTAATTTCTTGATTTCCCTCGATTTTTCGACCAAGTTTCCCGGCAAAAGTGCTTCATTTTTCCCATTTTTTTGTTGGTCCGCCCGGCCAGATGTGTCTATTGCCACTTTTCTGCCAATTGTGCACACAATGAGTCAGAAAATTAAAGTGGGGAAACGGCAGGGAATTGATGGCTTGTATGGCGCTTTATGAAGAAAAATAGGAAAACCTAGGCAGGCTAGCAGAGAACCTTGAGGAAAGGTGCTAAGCCCCGCTAGGGCAGACCAGCATAGAACCTTAGGGAATATGCAAAAACCGGTAGGGGCAAGCTGACAGGGATTCCTTGGTAAATTTAGCTAAAACTGACTGGGCATTCCAGCAGAGAAACTTTAGGAAAAGTGCTAAGGCCCGTTAGGGCAGACTAGCAGAGAATCTTCAATTTCCGAATACTTTTTTGCCTTCCCAATCCCTTTGAAACTCACATCACAGTCACATTTCGTGCAGTGGCGCTCCCGTCTCCGGAAACAGCAGAAAAGCCCGCAGGGGAAGCACAGAATCGCGTAGAAAATGCCACGCCAGGTGAATCGCCACGCAACGGAACGCGTCCGGCAATCCGGACATTCCAGATTCTCTGTCATTTGATGTGAGGCGTACTCGTAGTGGGAATCTAGAAATGGCGGTTGATTGCGTGATTTCGAAGGGCAGGCTAGCAGAGATCATTTGGGAATGGAAGGGGCAGGCTAGCAGAGATCATTTGGAAATGGAAGGGGCAGGCTAGCAGAGATCATTTGGGAATGGAAGGGGCAGGCTAGCAGAGATCATTTGGGAATGGAAGGGGCAGGCTAGCAGAGATCATTTGGGAATGGAAGGGAAGGCCAGCAGAGATCATTTGGGAACCAGAGCCCCTAGCAAACTAGCAAAGATTCTTTGGGGAATCAGTCCAGAAACTAGGGCGGGCTAGCAGAGATCATTCGGGAAAAGGATCACTGGCAAGGCAAAAAGTGTCGAAAAATCAGGGCAAGCGAGCAGAGATTTTTAGGGAAGTTCGTAATTTTCAACTAAAATTCTCGTTTAAATTAGCCATATGGGGTTCAAAACAGCGTCCCAAACTAGGGCGTAATTAGGGTACAAAACGGAATAATAGCCGGGAAAGGACAGAGAGAGACTGCTAGATTGAGAGTGAAGAGTGCAACCGGGGGAATAACATGACCACGGCGGGATCCACCCCATCGATCCACCCCACAACGCAATATTTACGCCAAACCTGAATTTGATTACGGGTCGAACGCCCGTAGATAGGCGTCATACGGAATATTTATTTTTTATGCGCAAAAATAGATTGATTTCGACAGCAGACCGGAAGTGACTTTTTAAAGGCATCGACAAGCCTCAAAAATACTGCCGAAATCCCGATAGTCAGGTCCCCGATACTCAGGATCCCGACAGGCCGAAATCCCGACAAGAAAATCCCGCCACGCCAAACTCCCGACACTCCATAATACCGACAGCGCTAGCACCGACAGCCAAAATCCCGACAACCAAAATACAGAGATTATTTGGTACGATTTAACCTAGTTTGCCATGATTGGCAGGCTAGCAGCGGTTATTTGTGGAGTTTGGAGGTCTAGAGGACTCCCGACGGACTAGCAAAGATTCTTTAGGAAATTTGGTGCCACTTAGTTCAGTTAAGATGCAAAGAAATAGGAAGGCAAGCTAGCAGAGACCATTTGGGGAATGCAGAGCCCAAAATGCCGCCAAAGCTCGGGCTCAAATTGCACTCGGCGTGAGGGCTGAAACGGGCGGGTGGCCTTGTTTTTTGTCAGGGTTTATCGGCCCACAGCTGAGGCGACAGTTGGGGGAAGGTGAGGGGAGGAATTTTCGAGGAGAATCGAAATAATGGGAGAGAGATGAGAGAAAGAGAGGGAGAGAGAGAATAGAAGAGATAAACAGACAAACAGACACCGCCCCACCCACTTCTCTGCGCTCTGCCGCTCCGGGCCGTCCGCCACTCTCTCTCTCACTCCCCTCTCTCTCTCTCTCTCTCGCTCTCGCACATGCAAATAATACTTAGGAAGCCAACAATTAGGTTTTAAATAACACCTAAAGGACCCCACAAAATTATCGGTATTTCATAGCTGCAAGATATCCCAGCAGCCAATATCACTTTAGGATTCTTCGAGGCGGAATACTCTAGATTTACAAACCTCGGCCGGGATTTTTATGTGGCGCCTAGTTTGTGCAAGCCGGCCGCTCTACCGCTTCTCTATCACTCACTCACTCTCTCGATCTCTTCCTCTCTCTCTTTCGCCGATCATTTCACTGACCCGATCGGGTGACTGATTACCCCGGGCGCCCGCATCACTCGGGGGGCGATTCCCAGAATTCTCCCCCATTTTGGGGTGTTGATGTGTGGGTTAAAATGTGACCCGGATCGTACCCGACCATCGGGTAGAATAGCAAAAATCTTCTCGAGGAAATAAGCAGCAGGCTAGCAAAGATCATTTGGGAATGGAAGGGGCAGGCTAGCAGAGATCATTTGGGAATGGAAGGGGCAGGCTAGCAGAGATCATTTGGGAATGGAAGGGGCAGGCTAGCAGAGATCATTTGGGAATGGAAGGGTAGGCTAGCAGAGATCATTTGGGAATGGAAGGGGCAGGCTAGCAGAGATCATTTGGGAATGGAAGGGGCAGGCTAGCAGAGATCATTTGGGAATGGAAGGGGCTGGCTAGCAGAGATCATTTGGGAATGGAAGGGGCAGGCTAGCAGAGATCATTTGGGAATGGAAGGGGCAGGCTAGCAGAGATCATTTGGGAATGGAAGGGGCAGGCTAGCAGAGATCATTTGGGAATGGAAGGGGCAGGCTAGCAGAGATCATTTGGGAATGGAAGGGGCAGGCTAGCAGAGATCATTTGGGAATGGAAGGGGCAGGCTAGCAGAGATCATTTGGGAATGGAAGGGGCAGGCTAGCAGAGATCATTTGGGAATGGAAGGGGCAGGCTAGCAGAGATCATTTGGGAATGGAAGGGGCAGGCTAGCAGAGATCATTTGGGAATGGAAGGGGCAGGCTAGCAGAGATCATTTGGGAATGGAAGGGGCAGGCTAGCAGAGATCATTTGGGAATGGAAGGGGTAGGCTAGCAGAGAGCATTTGGGAATAGAAGGGGTAGGCTAGCAGAGACCATTTGGGATTTTCGCTATTTTGAAATTCTGAATCGCGGCCTTGAAATTCCGAAAAAAAAATCGCTAATATCCTTAATTTTGCAGATGAACGACTCAAGACGAAAGCCCTCAACGCGAAGGTGCGGCTCCTTGAGGGGGAGAACGAGAAGCTGATCGCCCGAATCTGCGAGATGGAAATGGGACCCGGTCAGGAACAAGGCGCACCCACCACCCAAAACACTTCCCATCACCTACAGCACGAACTCGCTGAAGCCGAAGCGCGACTCGAGGCCCTACGGAGCGAGTACGATCAACAACTCGCGACGGTTCGCTTGGAGAATGAGGGACTGACAAGGCAGTGGCAGTCAATGCGGGATACGGTACGAGGGCTGGAGGACGAGCTGGCCACGTTGAGAGCCACGCAGCAGGGCTCGAGTCGGGGCGATCAAGCGAACTTTGGCCAGACGCCTCTGCCTGCACTTCAGGAAGAGGCTCAGCAAGAAAACGGTAATTTTTGCCGGTGGTTTGAGTTTGCAGTTTGGTAGTTTTGCATTCAAAGCTCAACCTAGGCCTAAACAAAGCCTAATTGTAAGCCGAGTCCAGAAGCCTAACAAGGGAAGGGCAAGTACACGAACTGGAAATTTGAAAAACGCTCGCGGCTACCCCCAGGTTATCGACTACGGGGAACACGATGGTGTTGTCAGAATTTTCCACCGAGCTCTCTGGAGCGAGATACGGTACTTCCGGAAAAGGGGTCATTTGCATTCGCCAAATTAACATGCTACTTGCGGTTTATTAGAAGTTTCTACGTCTCAACCATCAGCTGCGAGTTAGTCAATTGAAGTCAATGATCCACTCAACTTTTAATTTTTTGCTTTTTGGAATGTTATTTTTGGAGCCTTTTCGACTGTGTTTTCATTGTTCTTGAAGCAAACTTTCTCTTCCAAATCCGAAGTCGAACCCAAAAATTTCAATCTTTGAAGGCCGAAATTGACGTGGGTGCCCTCCAAAAAGCAAAGAGCAAAAATTAAAAGTTCTGAGTGGATTCGAACCCTGGTAGGTATTTCAAAAAACTGTTCAGTTAGCAATTGACTAACTCGCAGCTGATGGTAGAGACGTAGAAGCCTCCAATAAACCGCAAGTAGCATGTTAATCTTGCGTATGCAAATGACCCCTTTTCCGGAAGTACCGTATCTCGCTCTACAGGGCTCGGTGGAAAATTCTGACAACACCATCGTGTTCCCCGTAGTCGATAACCTGGGGGTAGCCGCGAGCGTTTTTCGAATTTCCAGTTCGTGTACTTGCCCTTCCCTTGTAAGCCTAAACCTAAGCCTAATCCAAGCAGCCTAATCCTATCCGTAGAACCTAAGCAATGGCTAAGTAAAGCGAAGTCTAAGCAAAGTCTAAGCAAAGTTTAAGCCTAAGTCTTGGCCAAGCTTGAGTTTAACCAATACTGTGTCAGGCCTAAGTCAAGCCCAAGCCAAGCCCAAGCCAAGCCTAAACCTAAGCTAAGCCAAGGCTAAGCTATGAATTTGGAGTAAAATTACATCGAAAACCGAGAAAATCGCAAAATTGAGAGGGTTTCGTCAAAGGTTTTGCCTTGTCAACCCCTTTAGAATAATTTTGCGGGGTTTAAAGGGACCGGGAAGGCAAAATTTTTTCCGGGTTTTTTATTTATTTTTTTTAATGTTTTTTAAAGGCATTTGGTAGGCAAGAAAACGAAAACACGCTGAAATTTCGGTAAAACTAGTAGTTGGAAAACGAAGCGAAAATCTTCAAATTCAAGTCGTCTCGCTAAAGATTGATTGTGGCTTTCCGATACCTTTCACTAAGACCACATTTCAGAATCCCTTCGTACTCGCACCGCGGAGCTTGAGCACCAACTCGCCGACCTAGTACACGTCAAGGAGAAGCTGCAGGAGCAGCTCAGCGACGTCGGCGTGGAGAACTTTGAGCTACAGGCGAGGGTGCAGCGGCTAGAGCGAGCTGAGGCCGACTTTGCCGTGCTCCGCCGGAGTGTTAATGAAGCTGAGAGGGAGAAGGAGGTGGCCGAGGAAGAGAGGAAGAAGCTGGAGATTGAGCTCGAATCGCTGAGGGAAAGGGAGCTGGAGACGTCCAACGAGTTGCAGCAGGCCAGGCATCGGGTAAGCAGATTACGACATTTCAATTAAGAAAGTTTGAGAAAATTTGGCACGGGCAGGCCAACAGAGGTCATTTGGGAATAGAAGGGGCAGGCTGGCAGAGATCATTTGGGAATGGAAGGGGCAGGCTAGCAGAGATCATTTGGGAATGGAAGGGGTAGGCTAGCAGAGATCATTTGGGAATGGAAGGGGCAGGCTAGCAGAGATCATTTGGGAATGGAAGGGGCAGGCTAGCAGAGATCATTTGGGAATGGAAGGGGCAGGCTAGCAGAGATCATTTGGGAATGGAAGGGGCAGGCTAGCAGAGATCATTTGGGAATGGAAGGGGTAGGCTAGCAGAGATCATTTGGGAATGGAAGGGGCAGGCTAGCAGAGATCATTTGGGAATGGAAGGGGCAGGCTAGCAGAGATCGTTTGGGAATGGAAGGGGCAGGCTAGCAGAGATCATTTGGGAATGGAAGGGGCAGGCTAGCAGAGATCATTTGGGAATGGAAGGGGCAGGCTAGCAGAGATCGTTTGGGAATGGAAGGGGCAGGCTAGCAGAGATCATTTGGGAATGGAAGGGGCAGGCTAGCAGAGATCGTTTGGGAATGGAAGGGGCAGGCTAGCAGAGATCATTTGGGAATGGAAGGGGCAGGCTAGCAGAGATCGTTTGGGAATGGAAGGGGCAGGCTAGCAGAGATCATTTGGGAATGGAAGGGGCAGGCTAGCAGAGATCATTTGGGAATGGAAGGGGCAGGCTAGCAGAGATCGTTTGGGAATGGAAGGGGCAGGCTAGCAGAGATCATTTGGGTATTGAGGGTACCTAGAAGAGGCCATTTAGATGATTTTATGCTCGCATTTCCAGATCAACACACTAATGGCCCAACCTCAACCTGTCCAGCTTCAACAGGCTTCATCAACCTCAAGCCCATGGGAGCCGATGGAAACCCTCATGCCCTCGGATCGAGAACAACTTGAGCAGCTCCAGCGCGAGAACTCCCAACTTCGAGAGGAGCTCGCACACGCTCGGCTGAGCCTGGCCGAGACTCGAGAGGTCCAGAAAGAGGTCGAAATCCTGAAGGCTGAGCTCGAGGAAGAACGGCGCGAAACCGAAGCGAAATGGGAGGAGGTCTGCGAAAAACTGATGCAATCCGCCGAACGCGCCGAGGACAGCCCTGCAGCCCGATCTTCACGTAAGGCATCGATAGAGGAGATGCACACCTACCTCGACGCGTACGCCGAGAAGTGCAAGAAGCTGGAGGAGGAGCTGAGGGAGACAAAGGAGCGGATAGAGCAGTCGTCGACGGAGATCTCCAGGAATGCATCGCCCGAGCTGGAGGCCGAGCTGGCCGCTTGCCAACTACGGCTGGTGGATGCTGAACGGAGACTGGAGGAGAAGGGAGAGACGATAGGGAGGATACAGGGGGAATTGAAGGAGGCGACGGAGAAGATGGAAGCCGATAGGGTTGAGAAGAAGAAGCTGAAGGCTGCCGTGAAACAGTTGAGGGACAGGCAACAGCAACAGACGGTTACGGTAGCACAAATGCCCGAGGAACCGAAGGTTCAGGTCAGTTTTTGAGGGCAGTTGTCGCTCTGTCTCTCTGTCTCTCTTTCTCTCTGTCTCTCACTCTCTCGCCCTCTCCCTCTCTCTCATTCGCCCGTCCCTCTCTCTCTCACTCACTCTCTCTCCCTCCCTCTCTATCTATCTCTCTATCTCTCTCTCTTTCTCTCTTTGGCTCTCTCTCACGCTCTCTCTCCTGTCCTGAACGCCTCGAAGTCACCGTTTTCAGGTTGTCCACACCCAACAAGCCGTAGCTCAACCTCCTTCCGCCCCGACCACCTCCGAGCCAGCCGAGCCGGGCTCCTTAGAGGACCTTGAAAATGAGCTGCGCCAAGCACACATCCGGCTCTTTAACGAGGGAAAACTCGTCGAAGACCTGCGGTTCCAGCTGGATGCCCAGAACCGACAGGGGCAGTTGAGGGAGTCGGAAATGGCGGAGAGGATGCAGCACCTGGTGGGTTGGGAGTGAGAGAGTGCGAGTGAGAGAGAGTGAGAGAGCGAGAGACAGAGAGAGCGCGAGAGAAAGAGAGAACGCGATAACCTCTCACTTCAAATATCCCAGGAAACACAAGCTATGCAGCAATACGAGCAAGCCGTCCGCGAGCACGAGCAGCGCACCCGCGCCGAACTGATGAACGGCGAGCTCCAGCAACGCGTTTCCGAGCTCGAGACGAAGCTCTTTGGCTCGAGCCAAGTCGAAGGGCAAGCGGAGGCTCAAGCTAGAGAGGAGAGAATGGAGCTGAATGCGCAGATTCGGGTTGGTTATGAAGTTTTAAACGTACTGCAAGGCGCCCGAATCGACCCTTTCGATCGACTATGTCTCGACAGCTACGTTGCACTCCAAATGACGCATGCCAGCGCGCAAGGACTACTGATTTTTTGCACCAATACCCGAAAAAATACCGTATAAAATGGGGTGAAATTTGAAGCATTTCGTAACTATCTAAACCTAGACGATGGAAAGGGTCGATTTTTGGGCTTATCCCATTTTAAATGGACCCGGAAGGCAGAATGAGCTCCCAGAACTCCAGCTTTCTTTAGCAACTCCAAGCCACCATCCAACAACTCGACGCGCAGCGCCTCGAGAGTGAAGGCCGATTCACGCAGCTGGCCGAAGAGCTTGAAGCCGTTCGGGCGGAGGCGAGCAGGCGGGAAGCCGCGCTGAACACGGAGATTGGCGCCCTGGAGGCGGATAAGGTAAAAACCCCAAAAGGATTTTCTTGTCTTTTTAGTCCCTTAAAAAAAGTCTATTTTTCAGGCCGAGTTCAGCTTCCGCGTCGACGCCGCCGAGGAGTCGTTCAATCAGAGCGAGCTGCACGATACGGTAGTTTTTTGGCTCTGTTTCTCTATTGCTCCCTCACTCTCTCTCTCTCGGTCTCTCTCATTTTCTCTCTCTCTCTCTCTCTCTCTCTCTCTCTCTCGCTCTCTCCCTCTCTCTCTTTATTTTGCGTATTTAATTTTTTCAGATTCGCGACCTCCAAAAAGAAGTGGATCAGACCAAATACGAGCTGTTCTCGATGCGAAACGAGCTCGAAGCTTCGGAAGAAGCACGGCAGCAGCTACAGTATCAGCTAGATGAGGAGAAGGAAAACACAGGATACGGTAGCCGACAGCCAGAGGAGCACGAGCGGCTTACCAGGGAGGTCGAGCTACTAAGGCAACAGGTACGACAAGGTCTCTCTCACTTCCCGTCACTCTCTCACTGTCTGTCTCTCTCGCGCTCTCTGTTGCCCTCTCGCTCTATCTCTCTTTCTCATCCATGCCAATGTTCCAGCTCTCGGAAACTGAAGAGCGTCTTGCCATCGCTGAGCAGCAGACCTTCTCCGAGATCGTCATCGATAGTACAGTTCCGGAAACGGCGCCAGTACAGGTTAGTAGATTCCAAAAAGCGCCAAATTACACCTGAACAGCAAGATTCCGTTTTTTCCGCACCACTACGTCTTTTGGTAGGTCTGCGCGTAGTAAAATTGTTGTGGTGGTCGCATGAGGAATTGGGTTCTCGACTCTTCGTCTCTCGCTCTTTCTCGCTCTCTCTCTCTCTCTCTCTCTCTCTCTCTCTCCCTAATCTGCCACCTTTCCAGCACGAATCGCTACTACGAGCAAGTGCCGCGACCTCAAACGCTGTCACCAGACTGCTAGAAGATCAAGGTCAAGCAGTACACTACGCTCCGCCACCCGGCTACGTTCCGTCCGAGTGGCCACAGGCTACGGTAGCTACGCAGCAGTACGCGGGACGCCCGGAACACGCGTATTATGGGCATCAAGCGCCTACCCCCACGCAACATTCCTATCAACACCCGGAACACGCGTACTATGGACAAGCTACGCAACAATACCCTGGACACACAACTACGGCAGCCACGCAACAGTACTCTGGACAGCAGGGATCTATGGCGACACAACAATACTCTGAACACCCCGCTGCAGCAGCTACGCAACAGCACTCTGGACACTCAACTACGACCGCTACGCAACAGTACGCTTCACACCAGCTTGGGGATACGCTAGCTGCGCAACGGTACGGTGCATATGAGCTCCACCAAGCTACGGTAGCGACGCAGCAGTACCCTGGACAACACCTCCAAGCCGAGCATTCCCAACAGATCCAGCAGCAAGAAACGGTAAGGTATACTGTAGCATTACGCTAATTTCGAGGATTTTGTAATTTTTTTGACATGCTTAATGCTAAAACCACGATTTCAGCCGATTCTGGCCCATTCCCCGGCCGAAAATTCCGGCCAGCTGCAATCCACAGACCAGCAGCTGGTGCTCAATTTGAACACGAACACGGAGAAGGACCTGTTTGCCGAGAACCAGCTGCTCAGGTAGGGAAAATGAAGTTGAACCTGGGCTTGGGCCAGGTTTAAGCGACGCCAAGCCCAAGTCAAGCTCAAGACTCAGCCTGAAACTAAGCCTAAGCTAAGCCTAAGCCTAAACCTAAGCATAAGCTAGCCTAAGCCTAAACTTAAGCATAAGCTGTATCCTAAGCCTAAGCCTAACCTAAGCCCAGGCCTAAGCAAAGCCTAAGCCTAACCTAAGCACTAGCCTAGGCCTAAGCCCAGATAGAAGCTTAAGCTTTAAACCGAAGCTTAAGCTTAACATAAGCATAAGCCTAAACCCAAAAATAAGCCTTAGCCCAAGCCTAAGCACAAGCACAAGCTTAACCCAGCTTAAATCTGAGCCTAAGCCTAAGCCTAAGCCTAAGCCCAAGCCTAGGTCAAACTAAACCCAAATTTTTGCAGAGAGTGCGTCAACGAGACGTCAAACCTTCAAGAGCGCCTCGGGGAAGACGTTGAACGGCTTGAGGAGCTGCGTTCGGAGCTGGAAGGGGCAGTGGATGGACTGAAGGGAGAAGTCTGGGCCCTGAATGGACAGCTGAAGGCTTCTGTGCTGGATCGAGAAGCTCTGGATACTCGACTGGCCATGGCCGACTCGCAGCTGGCCGCCGAGAAGGCGAGGGCCGATCAGCTGGATCAGGAGTTGTCGGAGCAGGTCGGTTTTTGGCGGATGTGGTTTTGAAAGGAGCATGAGATATCAGTATCCTCATTTTTTGTGTTTAAAAAAAGCGAGACCCCTAGGAGTCGTGGAATTTCTGGCCTTAAAGTGAGCACGACAGCTAGAATGCTTCATTTTTTTGCTTAAGGGAAGCGAGACACCAAGAAATCTTTTTTTGGTTTAAAGGAAGCGTGACACCTGGGATCCATAGAATTTCCGGTCTTAAAGTGAGCATGACAGCTTGAACTCCTCAATTTGATGTTCAAAGAGAGCATGAGAACCAAAAATAGAGGCAGTAGTTAAAATAGGGATTGAGCCAGCGAGAGAGAGAGATAGAAAGAGAGAGAGAGGGAGAGAGTGACAGATAGAGCGAGAGAGAGAGAGAAAGAGAGAAATAGAGCGAGAGAGAGAGAGCGGGCGAGAGAGAGAAAGAGTAAGAGAAGGAGCGGGAGAGAGAGAAAGAGTGAGAGAGAGGAAGAGAGAGCTGCAAGCAAGAGCTAGAGAGGGTGAGAGAGAGAAAGAGTGTGATAGAGATAGAGCGAGCGAGGACGTGACACCAAGAGTAACAAATCCCCTCTAGGTTGAACTCACGGAACGCGCTCAACGCCAAGCGGCCGAGTCTGAGAACGAGAGCAACAGGAGGCTGGCCGAATGTCTCGAGATGGAGAGCAGAAGGTGATTTATAAAAACCCAAAAATTTGCGAACTCTATTGAAATATAACCCATATAGCTATAGAAAAAACTGTAAAATAATCCTCAACTTTTCAGGGAAGAGCTGGAGAAGGCGTACACCCAATTGAAAGAGTACTACACCCAACTGCACGCCTCTTATGAGGCCCTCTACAATTCGGTGCACAGGACCGAAAAAGTCGATGGGCAAACCGAGACGGATGTTGATGGAATGACGGTGGAGAGGGGGGAAGAAGCTCTGAGGCTATATCACCTGTATCGGGAGCAATTCTCAGTGACGAATGACAGGGTCGTCGAGTTGAGGACCGGGTTGAGGACGCTGGCGCATGTGAGTTATCTTTCTCTCTCTCGCTCTCTCTCTCTCTCTCTCTCTCTCTCTCTCTCTCGGTCTCTCACGCTCTCTCTCTATACCTCGCGCTTTCTCTATTCATCTTGCTATCTCTCTCGTGCTCTTTTCGCTCTTGCTCACTCTAGCGCACTCGCTCTCTCTCTCCCCTTGCTGTCACTCTGCTGCTTTCAGAGACACCCTTAAAAGGCCCGGGAAAATCGACCCCATGTAGGGTTGGGTTTTGGCGCAACCGGTTTCCGATCGATCGCTTTGCATATCCTAAACGATTAAATCGTTGGACGAAAACCGGTTTCCGGCATCGAACCGATTTAAATCGGTTCACGAGGCAAAACCGGTTTTTGCCAGGCTCGGAAATCGGTTCGGGTAAAAAAACCGGTTTTTCACGATTCGGTCCCGGAAGTGAAACCGGTCTTTATGCAAATCCCCAGCACACTTATTATTCAAATTTCGGTAATCTAAAGCCTCAAATTTCATAAATTTTTGGGAATCGAGTTCTGTCTTAAATTTGTTTTTCATGTTTTTGCTTGTTTTATATAGCTTGTTAGCAATGTATGGTCTCAGAGACAAACGATTAGAACGTCATATTAAACGCTGGTGCCTGGAGCGCTACTTGATTGTTCGGGCTTTACCAGTCGTTTACGATTGACTTTTCGGTCACAGTTCTAGATAGGCAAGGTATTTTCCCGCTTTCACGCGCGGACCCGACTGTTACTGATAGCCTTAGATTGTACTTGATCATTTTGAAGCGCTCCAGGCTCGCACCAGCGTTTAATATGACGTTCTAATCGTTTGTCTCTGAGACCATACATTGCTAACAAGCTATATAAAACAAGCAAAAACATGAAAAACAAATTTAAGACAGAACTCGATTCCCAAAAATTTATGAAATTTGAGGCTTTAGATTACCGAAATTTGAATAATAAGTGTGCTGGGGATTTGCATAAAGACCGGTTTCACTTCCGGGACCGAATCGTGAAAAACCGGTTTTTTTACCCGAACCGATTTCCGAGCCTGGCAAAAACCGGTTTTGCCTCGTGAACCGATTTAAATCGGTTCGATGCCGGAAACCGGTTTTCGTCCAACGATTTAATCGTTTAGGATATGCAAAGCGATCGATCGGAAACCGGTTGCGCCAAAACCCAACCCTAACCCCATGCCTCGACTGGGTCAAGACAGCTAGGCGATGCATCTCACAAAACCGCCAATTTCGCAGCAAAATTTTATGCATTATGCTTATCTTTTCGCGTTTCGTGTAGCTGTCTAGACCTAGCCGACGATAGGGGTCGATTTTGGACCTTCTAGGCCCCTTAAAGGGCCAAAACTATGTAAAAAATGCCTTCCTGCGTCAACAGACATTTTCAGGACCTGAGCACCGCCGACCTGGGCACCCTTCGCGAGTCGATCACCGCCGAAATCGGCCGAATCCACGAGGCAACCGCTCGAATTGTGGAAGTTCGGGCTCAGCTTTCCGGGGGAGCCGCACCGGATGCGGATCGACTGGCTGAAATCGTGAACGCTGTAATCGAAAGCTGTGGGATCAACGTCCCAGCCGGGACATCACTCGTCGATCGCGTGGACCGTGTCGCCGAGCTGTTGCAGAACAGAAGCCGCGAGGCCGAGGAGGGCAGGGCGGCCGTGTTGAGACAACAGCAGACATGTGCCGCACTTTTGAAGGCAGGAGCTGTGGGTACCTTTCAAACCGGATTTTAGCGCCTCGAGGCGGCGGAAGTGGAAGCTGCGGGCGGCAGTGCTGAGGAGGGGCAAACGAGACGAGAACTTGAGGAAACCAGGGTGCAGTTGATGAACAGCAACGCCGAGGTAGGAAACAAATGATCTCTTCTAGCCTGCCCCTTCAATTCCCAAATGATCTCTGCTAGCCTGCCCCTTCAATTCCGAAATGATCTCTGCTAGCCTGCCCCTTCCATTCCCAAATGATCTCTGCTAGCCTGCCCCTTCAATTCCCAAATGATCTCTGCTAGCCTGCCCCTTCAATTCCCAAATGATCTCTGCTAGCCTGCCCCTTCCATTCCCAAATGATCTCTGCTAGCCTGCCCCTTCCATTCCCAAATGATCTCTGCTAGCCTGCCCCTTCCATTCCCAAATGATCTCTGCTAGCCTGCCCCTTCAATTCCCAAATGATCTCTGCTAGCCTGCCCCTTCAATTCCCAAATGATCTCTGCTAGCCTGCCCCTTCCATTCCCAAATGATCTCTGCTAGCCTGCCCCTTCCATTCCCAAATGATCTCTGCTAGCCTGCCCTTTCCATTCCCAAATGATCTCTGCTAGCCTGCCCCTTCCATTCCCAAATGATCTCTGCTAGCCTGCCCCTTCAATTCCCAAATGATCTCTGCTAGCCTGCCTCTATCACGATTTTCAGGTCTCCGAACTCCAATCTCGCGTCGAACAGCTCAAAGAAGCAGTGACCGAGCTGACAGCGGCAAAAGAAGATGAAGAGGGTGGGTTCACAATCCCTTAAAAATAACTTCATGTCTCTATCCCTTTAAAGAGACTGGTAAGGTATGGCTATGGATTTTGTTGGCTATGGATTGGCTATCGATTTTTCCGCACAGGAAAGCCACCGGAAAGGGCTCTTATTTGTTTACGCGACTAAATTACATTACGTGTCGTAATCCGTTGAAAATCCATCGCACAAAACCCATAAAAATGCCTTGCACGTCCCTTGCAAAAATCGTCACTCGCTTCCCCTCCCTCCTATCGCTTCCTCAACCCCGCATGCAAATTTCCGGACCGATTTTCCGGTTGATTTTGTGTTTTTTTTTGGTGGCTACCGTCTCTGGGTATGCAAATGGGCAAGGCTCTGTTTTTACTCTGCATCTCTCGTCACTCTCTCGAAAATTAGCTCCACCCCCTCACATCTCACGCGTTCACCGCCCAGCACACTAATGAAATTCTAACATTTTTTTGGTTTTGTTCTGAGAAAAAGATCTTGACTTTTTAAAGGGGCTCCGAAATCTGGTCCACCCGCTGCTGTGTTGATTCCTGGCAGATAGCCAGGTCCCGCGACCGCGTCGCATGTTCTTTAGTCCCCGTTTGGATGGGAAAACGAGTGAATTTCAAAATTCTGACGCCACTTCTGTAATCCCCATCGGATTTTGATCATTCTAAACATTTTAATTATTAAAATTGATCAGAGAACCATTGAGATCGAGAGATGCCTTACAAGGCATTACGACGCGTAGTCACCGTGCACTCGAAAAGTCATTTGTGCCCTAAGAACTTTTCGGTTTTACTCAAATCTTTTACGCCTTTCCGCATCGGAATCAATTTTGTGGCACTTCCCGGCAGTAACCTTCCGTTTTTTGACCGGACGGTTGAATCCCCGCACGCACGAATTTTGGCTTTTCTTTAAACTGAAACGTATCTTGAGAGCATTATGATTTTTTTTCCGAAATTAAAATCAGAAGCGAATTAAAAAAATTTGATTTTTGACGATTTTAATTTGTGTTAAAGGGGATAGCAGAAGCATCTCCGATTAGGGACAGAAGCACATGCGGCGCGGTCGTGTCGTGTTGCGTCTGTATCTGGCTTTTTGGCCGGCATCAAAGCGGAAGGGTGGTGAAAGGGCACGTTCAGGGACGTTTTTTGGAAAAAAGCAAAGATTTTTGCCGCGGCCGGGGGTCGAACCCGGGCCGCCCGCTCGGGGGGGCGCGGATGGATACCAGTCAGCCACAGCTACAACCTGGCGAGGGGTGAGGGGCGCCCCACGCCGCAAAGGAGGGAAATTGCCTGCCACGCCACGGGCAGGCAGTGCGCGCGGTCCCTACGTCCATAGGGTGTATACGTTAGATCGAGTATACGACCCCTACCTGAACGTGCGGTTTGGCGGTTTTCGAAATCTATACCTTCGGGATGCTTTTAAAGTATCTTTCAACAGTTTCCCAACTAACTAACGCACAATGCTTTACTGTGCCTGACTGTCTAAAAAAAAAATAAAATATTGACTAAATTTCGATTTAGCATTTTCCTGACTAACGCACAATCTACCGTACCGCCGTTTAGCCACTCTTCCTAGTGCACTCTCCCCCACCTATTCTATCCTCGGTTCCGGGTGGCCTTTTTTGGGTGTAATTGCGAGAGCGGAAATCAGAGTAGAGCTGTGCCCATTTGCAGCCGAGACGGGGCGACGTCGCAACCTACGGACTGAGGTCGCCATTTTAGCCGCTCGACTCGCCACACGACAAGCGGATGTCGATGCCCTTTTCCGAGCCAACGCCGATCTGGCCCACACTAATGTCAGGCTGCAGAATGAGATTGATGAGATGAGGGAGACGGCGACGACGTCGGCAAGTGCAGTGCAAGCAGAGGTCGGTTTTTCAGAAAATTTTGGAAAATCTTAAAACGAGCCTGGGAAAGCAGAACTTATTGCATTCGTTCAGCCGGCTGAAGCTGAACAGCTTCGTCACCAACTCTCCAGCCTGGAGGATCGACTTCATGAAGATCGCCGCCGCATCGAGGAGCTTGAGGCTCAACTGGCTGAGGCCCGGAACCGAAGTGGCATCCTGGCTGCTCAGCTTGAAATCAAGGAGCATGAGCAGCAACAGCAAGCATCGTCTGAACAGCTTGATGAGGTGGGAGCGAGAGGGAGGGAGCGAGAGAGAGAGGGAGATAGAGAGAGAGAGAGAGAGAGAGAGAGAGAGAGAGCAAAATAATCTTTAAATTTCAGCTTACCCGGCTTCGCGACGTCGAGAAGCTGCTGAACAACACGATCTCGAGCTTCGAGGACAAGCTCCAGGAGGCCGAGGAGCGGATCAACGACTTGGAGGGGGCGCTCGATGTAGCGCAGGTAGGCTAGACGGCTTTTCCCCCCTCTCTCTCACTCTCTCTCGCTCTCTCTCCCTCTCTCGACCTCTCTCGCTCTGTCTCTTTCTTTATCTCTCTCTCTCTCTCTCTCTCTCTCTCTCTCTCTCTCTCTCCTCCCTCCCTCCTTAATATGTCCTCTCTAGACAAAACACGTCGAACCGCAGCCTGAAGCCACCGAGAGCGCCTGGGGCTGGGGCGACGACCAGCAAGGAGAGCCTGAAGCAGTTCAAGCCCCGGTCACCCCGCTTCAATCCGCCACTCCGGATTCCCACGCCGACCTGGCCAAACTGAAAGCCCAAGCCGCGAAAGCCGAAGAACGCGCAGAGTTCGCGGAATCAGAACTTCAAGAAGTTCGAGCCGAGTTTGAGGAGCTGATGAATGTGTTGACAAAGTTGAAGCTCGAGCAGAAGGCCTCCGAGGAGAAGATCAACGTGTTGGAGGTGAAACTGGCAAGCGCTGCCGTAACCGCGCCCGTTCCGGAAGCCCCGGCAACGGAAGGCTGGGGAGATGACGATTGGGGAGCTTCGGAAACTACCGTACCCGCAGGGGCTCAAAACTCCGAGGCTACGGGAGCCCTGGAGGAGCTGCAGAATGAGTTGGAGGAGGAGAGGCAGCTGAAGGAGGAGCTTGAGAAGGAGAAACAGGAGTTGAATGTTAAGGTGCAACGTCTTTCTGCGCAGGTGAGGAATGGGCAGGCTAGCAGAGATCATTTGGGAATGGAAGGGGCAGGCTAGCAGAGATCATTTGGGAATGGAAGGGGCTGGCTAGCAGAGATCATTGGGGAAACGCACAGAAATTAGCCTAAGTTCCGCATTTTCAGCTCGACGAGCTCGAGACCGAACTCCTCGACAAGATCGAGGAGCAAGAGCGCTCGGCCGCCGACTTCAAGGAACAGATCCAGGAGCTGGAGCGGCAGCTAGCGGAGAATCCTAAGGAGGCTGCTCCTGTTGAGAATTGGGGCTGGGACGAGCCGGCAGTTGCTGAACAGCAACCCGGCCAAGCCGACGAGCTCAAGCGGGCGCTAGAAGACCGGGAGTCGGAGAACTTGGCGCTGAGGGTGCGGATTGACGAGTTGGAGCACGAGGTGGGGAAGGGGAAAGGTTAAAAAAGCGGATGAAGTTATTTCTATTTTTTAAGACATCAAACTTGAACTTTTAAAGGAACTAGCAAGTCAAAATCTGGTCCTTTTAAAGGCACCCGAAAGTCAAGAAGCCCTATACATTTCCTAATTTTCAGACCACCGAGAACGCGGCCAACAAGGCGGAATCCGAGGAGCTGCTCCGCGAGCTTCGCGCCGAAGTCGAGGTGCTTCGCATCAAGATCGAAGAAGCTGAGTCCGACGCCAGCCAGGCCAAGCAGCAGCTGGAGAGGACGGAGGCCGAGCAGAAGCCCGAGGAGGCGGAAGAGAGCTGGGGATGGGGCGATGAGGGCAAGCTAGCAGAACCAAACGACTCTGAGGCGTTGCAGAGGACCGTGGAACAACTGGAGGGACAGGTGAGGGTGGATTCAAGATGTCGAAACCTCAAAACGCCGAAAAAATAATGCCGAAATTTCTATAATAATTAAAATACTATAACAAGAATTATAATTCCAAAATTTCAGATCGCCATCCTCACATCAGTCGCCCAAAATGAACGGGAAAACTCGGAGGAACTGCTTCGTGAGCTTCGGGCTGAGGTTGAAGTGCTTCGGGTGAAGGTCGAAGAAGCCGAATCCGAAGCCAGCCAAGCCAAGCAGCAGCTGGAGCGGGCGGAGGCGCAGACAGCAGCCCCAACGGAAGCAGCAGAAGCTGAAGGAAGCTGGGGATGGGGCGAGGAGCAAGCGGAAACGGTGAGTACTTGCTCTGGGTCTCGCTCTCTATGTCTCTCTCTCTCTCTCTCTCTCTCTCACACTTTCTATCTCTCTCTCTATCTCTCTCACTTTCTATCTCTTGCGTTCTCTCGCACGCTCTCTCTCTATCGCTCTCTTTCTCTCTCTTTCTAACCGAATTTCTATAGACTCCAAACGACACCGAAGAAACGTCCCGCCTGGCGGCGCTTCTGAAGGCCAAGGAGAGCGAGCTCGAGGACGCCAAGCAACTCCAGGTTGGTCTATCAGCCAATCGTTTGCTGTAACTGAATTCTAATTGTTTTTCTACGCGTCATTTGGCGTATCGTGTAGCTGTCTAGACCTAGTCGATCGATCCGGACGATTCCCCCTTTAAAAAAGTTTGATATTTCAGGAGGAGCTCGAGACCAAAATCTGCGACATCGAGGAGGAGCTGGAGCGGCGTGTGGCCGAGGAGAAGGACCTAGAGGCTGTGAGGGCAGAGCTGGACGCGGCGAAGACAAAGTGTTCACTGTTGATGGACAGTGAGGGACGTCTCCTGGATCAAGTGGATGAATATGGGGCTCAAGTGGAGACTCAGCAGCAGGTTGGGGAGACTGAGACACGCTCTCTCTCTCTCTCTCGAGCGCTCTCTCGCTCACTCGTGCTCTCTCTCGCGCGCTCTCTTTCTCTCTTTCTCTCTCTCTCTCTCTCTCTCTCTCTCTCTCTCTCTCGCTTTCTAATCGCCGACATCCTAGGAAATTGACCGACTCCAACAAGTGATCAACACCCTGGAGGCGCAGCTCATCGAGAAGGAGGCCCTCGAAGAAAAGCTGGCAGCGCTTGAGGCTGAACTCGGCGAGGAGCAGGCCAAGGGGTACACTGACCATCTCTGGATACATTAATGATGCCTTTTTCAGCCCAGTAGATGACCAACACGAGGAGGTAGAGGAGCTGAGGGCTGCACTTCAGCAACAGGTTCAAAATGCCATTCTCCAACTGACAATTATGATTTAGGAAACAAGAATAGAAGCCTTGATCGGTGAAAAGGAGAAGCTGGAGCTCAAGCTCAAGGAGGCTGGGGCAAGGATTGAGCAAGTTCAGAAGGTGGGAGAGAAGAGCGAGAGAGATACAGAGAGAAAGAGAGAGAGAGAGAGAGAGAGAGAGAGAGAGAGAGAGAGAGAGCGTGAGAGTGAGAGCGTGAGAGTGAGAAATAAAGAGAGAGAGAGAGAGAGAGAGAGAGAGATAGAGAAGGAAAGAGAGAGAGAGAAAGAGGGGGTGGAGAGAGCGAAAGTATGAACATCTCCTTTCAGGAACGCGACGCCGCCAAGTCGAAATACGACGAGCTGCGCGCCAAGCTGCTGGCCAAGCGCAAAGCTGCGGCTGCTGGGGCTTCCGAAGCTGGCAGACCCCCATCTTCCGCTTCTTCGACCCGTGGCTCGCTTGCTGTCGACACCCGGCAAGAGGTGTGTTTTGTAGTGTTTGTTTTGTAGCTCTTAGTCGGGAACAAAATGTGGTGAGAACTTTTAAAGGAGTCCTAAAGCCAAGCAATTTTTCAGGACCAGAACTTTGGCGGCTCCTCCTTCTCCCCGATGCCTTCGCACTCCCCGGCCTCTTCGACGCAGGTAAATTTACATTAAGAATTTTTTCCGTGTAGTTTTTGAAATGTGATTTCCAATATTTTATAAAAAGCACGAAAAACACTGGGAAGGAGAGGATGAGATTTATTGAAAGCACATGCACGATTTAAAACCAAGGTTAAACCTGATTGAAATACTTTAAATATTTAGGATGCAAATTTAGGAATTTAAAAGAATTTATGGATTTCATTAAAAATTTAAAGGAATTCAAAGCTTAAAAATATACCGTTAGTTTAATTTACGATTCATTTTCCGATAATGCAAAAATCTGAGGCAGAATTTTAAAGTTATTACCGTGGTCTGGTTAAATTCAATTAAATCTAAAATTAAGTTTTCCAAAAACCAGATTTTCAAATTATCGAGCAAGATATATTTAAAATTAAATTTTTTAATTTCTCTAAACCGTAAAAATTTTTATTTCGCGGCGGTGGTCGGCAGGGGCGGTTCCTCGCATCAAAAAGTTGGGCACGAAAACTACAAAAATTACAAAAATTGGATCTCTCACTACCGTATACGCTTTCGCCGGCTCCTTCCCAGCGTTTTTTCGGCAAAAAATTTGCATAAAATTGCAGCATTTTTGAACGTTTTTTACTTGAAAAAACCGGTGCCCAACTTTTCTTTGCAGGGCTCCACCACGTCGGCCGCCACCGCTACGCAAGACGCCTATCGACGGCGGCGGAATTAAGCGGATTTTTGCGATTTTTATATGCTAATTAATTTATATGATTTTTTCAAATATTATTTATCAATTTCTCGGCTCAATTCTTAATTGTTTTTATTTTTTGGCAATTAATTTTTATGGGTTTTCGAGCGTGCCTTAAATTATGCAAATTCGGCTCATTAGCATCGCCCAGTTCACCAAAAAACGATGATATCTCGTGAAAACTGTGATTTTTCGGGAATTTGTGAATTTTTTGCTTTCTAAGTGGGGTGATTAGTATAATTCAATTTTTCTAATATTTCTGGTTCTAAAAATCCCTTGTGAGATCGAGTTGTTCTTCCGCTTTTTCATGGGTACCGTTCGATTTGAGAATTTCGATTTTTATCTAAGTTTAACTCGTTAATTTACTGCTTCAAACTAGGCCAGTCAATAAAAAAATTTAAAATGTGACAAAAATACAAAAATACATCACAAAAAAGAAGTAAATATTTGAACACTGCAAAAAAACAGAATAAAATGCGATCGTACACCAAATGGCTCTTACAAAAGTTAAAAAATTTAACTAGGGGTTGGTGGCTCCCATTAATGATTGCATATAAATGGCTAAAATAGCCATTAAAAGTTGTAAAATACAGTAGGAAAATCAAGACATTTCAGTTGATACACCCAGAGCTAGCTAGCCAGGTCCATGAAATCATCAGAAAGATCCGACAAATATCGGCTCAGCGGAACGTTGAATTAGGTACAGTATCTCTCTCTCTCTCTATCTCTCTCTGTCTCTCTCTCTCTGTCTCTATCACTCTCTCACTCTATCACTCTCGCGGCTCTCTTTTTCTCACTTTCTCTCGCTGTTTCGCTCTCTCTGTCTCTCTCACTCTTTCTCCCGCTCTCTCTATGTCTCGCTCTCTCGCTCCCGCTAGCGCACTATCCTTTGCTAGCAAACCCGTTTTCTTGGCCAATTCTCAGCCGTTCTGCAACGCTTGGCTACTGTAGAAGCCGCTGAAACTCCTCCGGCTCGGCAGCAAGATGCTGAAAATCAACCGGAAGAACCGGAGAAGCTAGAAACTAGTGGTAAGTCTAGAAAACGCGACTCATAAATCCCACCCCTTAGCCCCTCCCCTATCCCCGGAAATGGAGGAGATTTGTCTGGAGGACTTCCGGCCGACAACTGAAGCCGACCCAACGATGGCTGGTCGGGAGGATACGGTAGGTGCAGCGCAATACAGTATTTTTGGCGCTATTTTTATTTAAGATTCACTTTAAAAACGATTTTTAGCGTACCGTGCTGCTTCAAATGCAAAAATTGAAGGCCGACAAGTTCGAGCAGGTCAGTTAAGGGGCTTTACGACATTTGAATCTGTTAAATCTGTAAAAATTGATTATAAGATCGCCAGGATGATCTATGAAACCTACATTTTTAGGAGGCCGAGCTACGTGAGCTTCACCTTGAGCTGCGAAGCCTCGGCGCTGAGCTGGAGCGCTGCCAGGTTCTGCTGGCGGCTGAAAAGTCGGAAAACAACCGGCTCGGCGATGAGCTGCAGCGGCGGATTGGAGATTTTCAACAGGCTCAAGCTGATGCTCAAGTTGAAGCGGAAGCCAAAACCCAAATCGCGGAAGCCTTGGAAGCCGAAGCCAACCGATTAAGCAACGAAACTGGCGCCGAAGTTGAAGCTCTGAAGCTTGAGCTCGAAGCCAAGCTCGAGGAAATCCACGAATTGAGATCGGAAAACCTGAAGATTGCTTCGGAGGCTCAAGTTTTACAAGCACAAGCTCAGGAAAATAGGGAAGCAATGAGAACTCTACAAAGCGCCCCAAATGACGATCTCCTTGCTCGAGATTCTGAGATAGAAACTTTGAGCTTGGAGCTCGAAACGCTACGTACCGCTACGCAAATGGTCATGCAAGAAAAGGAGACTGAACTTGCGGCCCAGCTCCAAAAGACCGCGGAGCTTGAGAGTGAGCTCGAGCGAGTACGTCAGAATACAAATGACGAACAGCAGGTTAAGGATGACCAGATGGCAGCTTTAAGGGAGGAGCACGAAGCGCTACGCGAGAGTGCGCAAGCCGAGCTAATCCTGAAAGCTGCAGAAATCGAGACTCAGCTTCAAAAAGTTGAGAAGCTTGAGCAGGAGCTTCACCGGCTCCAGGAGGCTCCAAACGACGAGCTACAATCTCGCGACAGGCAGATTCAAGCGTTGACCTCTGAACTCGAAGCGCTACACGAGACTACGCAAGCCGAACTGAAGCTGAAAAAGGCAGAAATCGAAGATCAGCAACAGAAGCTCGAGGAGCTTGAGCAAGAGCTTGACCGGCTACGCGAAGCTCCAAATGACGCGCTGCAAGCCCGAGAAGACCAGAATGAAGCTTTGACCTCTGAGCTTGGCGCACTACGCGAGAGTACGCAGCTGGAAACTCAGGAACATCAGCAGAATCTCAAAGCGCTTGAGCAAGAACTTGAGCGTCTACCCGAGGCTCCAAACGACGAGCTTCGAGCTCGCGACAACCAAATTGAAGCGTTAACCTCAGAGCTTGATGCACTACGTGAGAGTACGCAAGCGGAAGCTCAGAAACAGCAACAGAAGCGCGAGGAGCTTGGACAAGAGCTTGAGCGGCTACGCGAAGCTCCAAATGACGAACTGCAGGCCCGAGACGACCAGCTCCAAGCTTTAACTTCACAGCTCGAAGCCCTACATCAAAGCACGGAAGCCGACGCTCAGGAGCAGCTACAGAAAGTTGAGGAGCTTGAGGGTGAGCTCGAGCGACTACATGAGGCTACAAATGACGACGCCCTTGCTCGGGACAACCATATAGAAACCTTGAAGTCGGAGCTCGAGGCGCTACGCGAAAGCGCGCAGGCCGAGGTGAAGCTGAAAAACGCCGAAATCGAAGATCAGCTCCAAAAAGTTGAGGAGCTTGAGCAAGAACTCGAACGGGTACGCGAGGCTCCAAATGACGAACTTCTAGCTCGAGTCAACGAAATTGCAGCCCTAACTTCGGAACTGGAAACACTACGCGAGCATACGCAATCCGAGGTTGCGGCCAAAGCTTTGGAACTGGAAAGCAAGGAGCAAGAGCTCGAACAGCTTCGCCAAGCAGCCTTTGACGAATTTGAAGCAAAATCGCGCGAAATCGAAGGACTAGAAGCTGAGTTGAAGCTAAAAACTGATGACTACGAGAAGCTACAGCCAGAAATCGATGCCCTACGAAACAGTATTCAGGCCGAAATCGCTCAAAAGGAGTCTGAACATCAGGCTCAGCTTGAAACGCTTCAGGAGCTGGAGCTGGAAGTAGAACAACTGCGCGCCACAGCTAATGGCGAGCTTCTGGAGAAGAATTCTGAGCTGGAGACGCTGAACTTGGAGCTCGAGGAGCTACGCAGCTGTACTGAGGACGTCATCACGAAGAAGAACTCTGAAATTGACGCCCAGCTTCGGAAGCTTGGTGAGCTTGAGCAAGAGCTTGAACGGCTGCGCGAAGCTCCCAATGACGAAATTCGTGCTCGAGATGACAAAATCGTTGCCTTGGCTTCAGAACTCGAAGCGCTACGCGAGAGAACGCAGGCCGAAGCTCAGGAACAGCTTCAGAAGCTGGAGGGGCTTGAGCAAGAGCTTGAAAGGCTACGCGAGGCTCCGAATGACGAAATTCGAGCTCGAGATAGCCAAATTGAAGCGTTGACCGCAGAGCTCGAAGCGCTACGCGAGAGTACGCAAATCGAGGCTCCAAATGACGAATTACAAGCTCGAGGCCAGATCGATGTTTTGACGTCAGAACTTGAGGTCCTACGCGAGAGCACTCAAGAACAGCTTCAAAAGCTGAAGGAACTTGAAGAAGCCAACCAAGCCCAAAGCCTGCAACTTAAGGAGTTTGAGCTACTACGCACGACTACAGACGACGAATTGCAAGCAAAAATTGTGGAGCTAAGCAATAATAAAGTCGAGCTTGAAGAATTACGTGCAGATTTCGAAAGGTTACGCCAGAGTACGGAGCACGCGGTGCGACAGAAGGCAGAGCAGATCCTGATCCAGCAGACGTTGATTGATGAGCTGGAGACGGAGCTTGGAGTGCAAATTACAACAGCTACAAGCCACGCAAATGAGCTGGAAGCTGCTCAGAATGGGCTTGTAGAACTTGAGCAAGAGCTGACCAAAAAGAACGAAGCTGCTGAAGCCAATCCTGAAGCCTTCGCGCGCTGTCAGCACTTGGAGCTCGAGCTACAGGAGCTACGCGAGGCAACAAATGACGCCGACAGCTATCGTACGGAGCTTGAAGAGGCTAGGAAAAGAATTGCCGAGCTTGAGTACGAGCTTGGTGGTAAAAACCAGTCACTCGAAGGCAAGCTTGAGCACGAGGCAAAGCAGAACAACGAAGCTGACGAAGCCAATGCCGAAGCTCAGAATGAACTCCGTCAAAAAGCTGAGCAGATCCTGATACAGCAGACGCTGATCGACGAGTTGGAGGCGGAGCTTGAAGTGCAAAGTACAACAGCTAAGAGTTTAGCAAATCAGCTTGAAGGCGCACATAGGAGGCTTGTCGAGCTTGAGCACGAGCTTCTTCAAAAGAACGAAGCACTAGAAGCCCGGTTTGAGCACGAGCTTGTCCAGAAAAACGAAGTCAATTCTGAAGCTTTGGCGCGTTCCCAGCAAGTGGAGCTCGAGCTTCAGGAGCTCCACCAGGCCTTAGTGGAGGCTGCAGGCCACCGCAGGGAGCTTGAAGAAGCTAAGGAAAGACTTGCCCAGCTTGAGCACGAGCTTAGCGTCAAAACCGAAGCCCTTGAAGCCAATTCTCAAGCCTTGGCACGATCCCAAGAATTGGAGATCGAGCTCCAGGAGCTACGCGATGCAAGAAATGAAGCAGACAACTATCGTACTGGGTTTGAGCAGGCTAGAGAAAGACTAGCCGAGCTTGAGCGAGAACTTGTTCGCAAAAACGAAGCTCTCGAAGCCAATTCTGAGGCCTTGGCAAGAAACCAAGAATTGGAGCTGGAGCTTCAGGAGCTTCACGCAACCACGAGCTCCGAGATTACAAAGAGAATCGTGGAAACCGAAGCCCTAAACGCGGCCAAGCTCGAAAACGAAGCCCGGGCCGAGAGCCTGGAAGAGAGGCTCTGGGAGCTGGAGGAGGAGCTGCGGAAGCTACGCGACGCTACGAAGGTCGAATTGGAGGGGAAGGCCTCGGAAAATCGGGCTTTGGAGGTGGAGAATGAGGAGTTGAGGGATGAGCTTGATCAACTACGCGAGAATACTTTGGACGGTGAGCTTGAATTCGCCCGAGAAGCCTTGGCAATAGCTGAGGATCGAATTTTGGACCTGGAGAACGAACTCGTCGAAAAGAAGAAGGCTTTAGAAGCTTTGGAATCCGCGAGGCTACAAGCTACACCTGCGAACGTTGCGGAAATTGACGGTCGACTACAAAATACACCCATTGACAGCATGGACCTTGTAGCCACGGAGTTTAGCGGACTTCAAACTACGCCAAATGACCCGGCGGAATCTGTGCGTAGACTACAAATTACACCTCTGAACGCAGTCGAACCTGATGGACTACAGACTACACCAATTGACGCCGGACAAGAATTGAGACTAAAAAAGACGATAGAACCCCGGATACACGACGATACCATCGACAACTCAAGAATTGAAGATCTCCAGCACCAAATTCAACAAAAAACCCACGAAATAGAGTCCCTGAAAACCGAGCAGCACCTGAAAAATTCCGAATATGAGCATGACATTGAAGAACTCGGCCGGGAGGTTGAGGAGATACAAAAAGCGGCCGAGGCCCGAATTCTTGGCCTGGAGAAACAGCTGGCGGACGCGCGAAGAGTGCCTGAGCACGAGGTCGAGGAGCTGCAGAGGTGCCGTGAGATCCTGGAAGCTGAGAAGGCGGAGATAATGGGGAGGTTGGAGGAGAAATCTGCAGAATTGGCACGCTGCCAAGTCGAATGGGCGGAGAGGGCCGGATTTTATGAGATGAGGATAGAAGCCCTGGAGGGGGAATTGAAGGAGGCTGTGGAGGAGATTGGGAGACTACAAAGTACAACTGTTGACGAGGGCAAGGAAAAGGAGGAGGAGCTGAAGAAGGAGATGGCTGGACTGGAGATACAGGTGAGTCGGAGAGGAGAGAGAGAGAGAGAGAGAGAGCGAGAGAAAGAGAGGGAGAGAGAGCGAGAGAGAGACAAATAGAGGGAAAGAAAGCGAGAGAAACAAAGCTTTTTTAGCTCTCTAAAGCCCGAGAAGAAGCCGAAGCGGCCTCCTGGAATTTGGCCGAGTCCGAGAGACAACTTCAAGACGTTCGGGAGGCAAATGTGGAATTGAAACAGAAGGTTAATACTGTAGTGATAAGTTTTACCTTTTCGGATTTAGCTAGCCAAGACGGCCTTAGAAGATCACGTCCAGGCTACGGTAGCTGAGACTACGGTGCCTGTTGCGTCATCACCACGAAGTGAAGAGGTCAGCGAGCTGCGGGCAGATTGTCTCCAGATGGAGGCACGGCTCCGGGGAGCGCATGAGAATATTCATGCATTAAAGGTAGGGAGGGAGAGCGAGTGAGAGAGAGAGAGAGAGAGAGAGAGAGAGAGAACAAAATCAACCTGAAAACCGGAAATTTCAGAAAGAAATCCACGGCTGGCAACAACGCGTGGAGAGCCGTGAAAAGTCGTTAGAAGCGCTGCGCGCCGAGCAGGACGTCATCAAGGAGCAGCAGCAGCAGCTCATTTTTGAGAACGGGCAGTTGAGGTGGGTTGTCAAAGCATTTAGGCCCCTTTAAACGAAAGGAACACCACAAAAATTCAGGCTCTCCGCACGCAGCAATGACCCGACGGAGCGCATCTTGGCGATGGAGCGCGAGCTGGTCGAGACGAGAGCTTTACTGCAGCGTCGAATTGACGGGGTTGGTAGTTTTGACTATTTTACCTGCTCTCTCCCTCTCCCCTCCTAACTATCGTTTTCAGCTGATCGAGGACCTCCGATTAGCTGAGCTCGAGCTCGAAAAACGCCGTCAAACCGACGCGGTCGCCGAGGAAACTCTGCAAAAACACGCAGAAGCGGTAGGAAAATGCTAACACCTTTTTAAAGGACCCGGCAAGCCATGGCTTTGGATCTTGGTTCTTTGGATCTACGAAAACCAGAAAAATCTATAGGGAATCCACAGTAAAACTTCATAAGTATGCCTTGTCTGCCCCCTTAAAGGGACCGGAAAGGCAAAATTTTGACGATGCATATTTTTGCAGGTGACGGAATGGCGTGGTCGGTGGGAGACTGCGGTGCAGGAGGCTGAGGCTATGAGGAGATGTGCTGATGAGACGCCGAGGCTTCAGTCAGCGCTGCATCAGGTATGCGTTCTCTTCCTCCTGCCCTCCCTCTCTGTCTCCCTCTTTGTCTCTCACTCTCTCTCTCTCTTACTCTCTCTCTTTCTCCATCTCCTTCTCCCTCTCTCTCTCTCACTCTCTCTTACTGCTCTCTCTCTCTCTCTCTCTCTCTCTCACTCCATCCCCCCTCTCTCTTTCCCTCTTTCTCTCACTCTCCATCTCCCCCCCCCTCTCTCTCTCTCTCTCTCTCTCTCTCTCTCTCTCTCTCTCTCTCTCTCTCTCACTCCATCCCCCTCTCTCTTTCCCTCTTTCTCTCACTCTCCATCTCCCTCTCTCTCTATCTCTCTCTCTCTCTCTCTCTCTCTCTCTCTCTCTCTCTCTCCTCTCCATCTCCCTCTCCCTCTCTCTCGCTCTCTCACTGCTTTCTCTCCATCTCCCTCTCTCTTTCTCTCTCTTTCTCACTCTCGCTCTCCCTCTCTCTCTCTCTCTCTCTCTCTCTCTCACCTCATCATTCCAGAGCCGCTCCGAACACAACGAACTCAACCGCCGCCTGGACGAGGCTGAAGAACGCATCGCTAGAGCGCAACGCGAAAAAGACGCCCTCAACGCCCAGGTATTCCACAGTTCCGCAAACAGTCTCTGCTAGCATGCCCTACAAATTCACTTGTTTTTAGCTAACCATCGTCTCCCAGCAACTCGAAGAGCGAACGGATAGGCTGCGAAAAGTCGGCGACGCCAAGACGCAAAATATGTTGCGGTAAGAAGTGTGAAGCGTATTTTAAGTTGGCTTCCTACGCCTTTAAAAGGACTAATTACAGCAAAAATCAACTCGGTTCCATCGATTAGGTCTAGACAGCTACGCGACACATCAGTGACACGCGAAATCCCAAAAAACTTTTGAAGGTCACGTCCGCTGTGAACGTATATTCAAGCCAAAAATGAGCTCTATGCGCGTCTTTTAGAGCGTATTGTAAATGTCGAGACCTAGTCGATCGTAGGGGTCGATTCTCGCTCTTTCCAGCCCCTTTAAAACCCGATTTAAGGCTCGTCGAGCTGGAGTCGCGGCTGAACGCTTGTCGACAAACCATTGCTGAGCAACGGCGGGCACTTGGGCTGGTGAGTGAGAGAGAGAAAGCGCGAGAGAGAGAGAGAGAGAGAGAGAGAGAGAGAGAGAGAGGGAGAGAAAGAGAGCGATAGAGGGAGCAAGATATTATGTTTTTTTCAGGCTGCCGACCAAGCCGATGCTCCCGGAACTAGTCGAGACACGGATTCAGAAGTGGAGAGCCGCGAAAGCTTGTTGGAAAAGTTGGTGCTCGCCGAACAGCGGATACAGGAGGTTTGTGTGTTGCTCTATGTGACTGGTTCTCTCTCTCTCTCTCGCTCTCTCGCATCTTAACTCCAAAAAAACTACTTTTCAGCTGGAATCTCAGCTTTCATTGCTGACCAACCCGGAAGCTAACGATTCTCAAGCGCCAGTCAATGCCGTGGAAGCGGAAACTGAGGTAGACGAGGTGGAAGAGGCTGAAGAAGCCGCCGTGGCTTTGTTGGAATCATCAGACGCTACGGAAGTGGATCTAAACCAAGATGAAGCGGATGTTGATCAGGAAAACGCCGTATGTCTTAGATTCCACAATTTAATCCCATTAAACGCGCTAAAGGGGCGGGCAAGGCAGTTTTTGCCAGCCTCGTGACGCAACTTGGCGCACACGCAACGCACACGCAACGCACACGCAACGCACACGCAACGCACAAGCAACGCACACGCAACGCAGATGCAACGCACATGCAACGCACATGCAACGCACATGCAACGCACACGCTACGCACCGGAATCCCTAAATCGCGGAATGACGGCGCGTGCGTCGCGTGCGGCAGTGCGTTCTCAAAAAATTTATGTATTCTATAGTTTTGCCTAGCCAATCCCTTTAAAATTAAATTACGTGTCCTGAAAACCCTATTTAAAGCTGAAAACTCAAAATTAAAGCAATTTAACAATTTTCAGGCCTCGCCCAGCTTCCAGTCGCCCTGGTGCTTTAACAACCCGGATTTTTAAAATCTAAATTTGTCGTTTTTTGCCATTTTTATGCCTCTAATTTATTCCAATTTACTGGTCCGATTAATGCAGGTTTAATATATGCTGATGCCCAATTGCCGCGCATCGAAAATGACAAGAGCTTATCCCATTTTTTTTATAGATTGTATGAGTGTCATTTCTTTGTATACGCAAATATTTGTGCCTTCCCTTTGATGCTCATTATTAAGAACAAAATAATTAAAAATCTGTGATGGTTTTTTTGCTATGGGTTTTTGCATAAATAATGATTTGCAAGTTTCGTTTCAAATTTTCAAGGAGCTGACAACGCATGGGTTAAACAATGCTTTTTTAAAAGTTTTTAGTAGTTTTAGGTTGTTAGAACGTTACAAAATACTTTAAAAACTTTGATAAAATTCGAAAATGCTAGTGCTAATGCCTTTTCTAAAGTTACGTTATTGTTAGTTAGATTAAAATTGTGCTAACTAAAAATAATGTTTATATTGTGTTAGTTGTATTCGAATTACATTAAATATAAAATATGTTAAAGCAAGAGAAAAATACTGACATTTTACTGGATTTAATGAAATTTGAAAAGAATTTGTAAAGTGTAACAAAAGGCTTTATCCGCTTTCAATACTAGCAATGGGTCCGGTCGGGGTCATCTAGGGAAGCCTCCGTAACACTTGGAAGCTCTACATTCGTCCAGTCGTGCTCCTGGAAAATGCGGCGTCATTCTCTCTCTTTCTCTCTCTCTCTCCCTCTCTCTCTCTCTCGCTCTCTCTCTCTTTCTCTCTCTTCCTCGCGCTCTCTCTTGCTCTCTCTCTCTCTCTCTCTCTCTCTCTCTTTCTCTCTCTCTCGTTTTTACCTCATTAACAGCTACCCCGGTCTCCCGCAAACAGTGAACGTTCAGCGGCGCGGATGCGTAGAGCTCGCGTAGCGCGACGATATCGTCTTCAGACCAGTGCAGCTCGGCCAAGTCTCCGGCTGTGGTCCGAGGGCTCGAAAGATTGGCATCCGCGGGCATACTGTAAATTGTTGATACATAAGGACTGCGAAAACCAAGCTTAAGTAAGCCGCCCAAGCCTACGCCTAAGGTCTAAGCACAATCCTAGCCGCAGACAAAGCCTAAGCCTAAGCTTAAGCTAAGCCTAGTGCCAAGCGTAAGCTTAGCCTAAGTATAAGCGTGAGCCTAAGCATAAGCGTGAGCCTAAGCATAAGCGTGAGCCTAAGCCTAAGCCTAAGTCTAAGCCCAAGCTTAAGCCTAAGCCTAAGCCTAAGCCTAAGCCTAAGCCTAAGCCTAAGCTAAGCCTAAGCCTAAGCCTAAGCTTAAGGCTAAGCCTAAGCTTAAGCCTAAGCCTAAGCAGCCTAAGCAGTCATTCGTCATTTGAAGTTATCTGATACGTATCATAATGACGATACTCACCGTTTCTCAATGAAATCGTAGAGGCTGGCATTGTGCACCTCGCTTCTGCACGACTCGATGTCGACGGCCGGGTAGTAGAGGAGGTAGTTGATGCACATTTCCTCGTCCAACCCGAGTCCGCTCTGAACTTTTGAAAATTAAAAAACAGCAACGAGATGGTGTCGGGAAAAATTTAATTTTGTTTTGATGCCTTTTCGGCGTTGATTTTTGTATGTTTCGTGACTTACGTAGGTAGGCGCGGTCCGATCGCGAGTGTCGTGCAAACATGTCGTTGCCAAGGTGTCTCCCTAAACTCCCATTTTCTAAGATTTTTAATTTATTAATACCAAATTTTAAAATTTTAATTTAAAAAAAAAATTTTAAAAAATTTTAAAAGTTTTTAAATGGCCAATTTTTTGCATTATTGACATGGAGCTCTCTAGCTAGGTGTTCCCTACGGATTTCGACGCGCCGCGACACGCAACGCGTTACCAGGTCATCCTGGCACCACCGAGGAGATTTAATCCGTTACGCGATGGGAGGGCGCGTTGCGTGGCGTATCGTGGGTCACAACCGCCCATGGGTTCGGTCCCGATGGCTCCCGGGAAAAGGCGTACTGTACGGGTTTTTGCCTGGGGCGCGAAATAGCAGCATGATTTTAGCTGCGCAGGCTTGCTTTCGCAATGGCGCGACGCGTCTGTCGCACGCGTTGCGGTCTTTCTTGGTATCCAATTCCACCGGACGTTTTATGAGGCGCCGGGCTGCTGTGGGGTGTGCCTCAACTCCCAGGCAACCATTGATTTTGGCCATGGATAGCCAGAAAATTCCTGTTCTTTCAGCTGCCCGCGACACGCAACGCTTCACCCGGCCTTGTCGAGACCAGGGCTAATCGATTAGGTGGATGGAAAGGGATGGAAAGGTGGCCGCGTTGCGTGCCGCGGGTGTAAATCTCAACGCATAGGTTGCGGGCGATCCATAGCCAAGTTACTAATGATCTTGGGACCCGCGGCACGGCACGGCATTTTTTTCTGGTTTTCCCGGTTGACCTAGTAATCAAATATAAAGTATTTTCACATTGTTTTTAGTAAATTTTAACTATATTTAAAGTAGAAAAACCTTTCAAAAAAGTTAGAAAAATGTTTGAAAAAGTCGAAAATTGGTCATTTTAGGTCTTTTCCCCCCCCCCGCTAATCCTAAAGGTTCTTTAGGATTTTTCGACCTAAAATTAAATTTTTTAATTAAAATGTGGGTAGTTTTTATGTTCAGGAATAGTTAAAAACCATTTAGAAACGCATGCGCTATTTAGAAAAAAATTTAGGCTTGGGCCGAAAAAATTTGGTTTCCCTCCCCCCTCCCCCCCACCCGGAAATCCCAAAGGAACCGCCACATCAAACTAACGTCAACAACGGACCGGCAAAATCTGGAGGGGCGGATCGAAATGGGAGAGGCGCTGCCAGAAGGGCCAGTAGTTGTCGTCACGATTCAATTGGCCAATGAGACGGCCTGGAATTTGAACGGTCTTGTCGAAACAGGCCTTAAAATATAGCGTCAACTATACCTTGACGATATATCGAAGTCCAGATCTTGGTCACGGTAAGATGGGCATGTAATAGGCTGCCAAATATTTTGATTCCTGTCGACGGAAACTGAAAAATTACTGAAAATGTTTGATTTGCTATCATCCCATCGAATCACATCTGCCCGAATTGCATCCCATCGAATTGCATCCCATCGAAATTACGACTCATCGAAATTACGACACATCGAATTTACGACTCATCGAATTTACGACTCATCGAAATTACGACTCATAGAAATGTCAGCTAATCGAGTTTTCAAAAAATACTAATTTTTGCCCGGTCCAATTTTAGTCATTCTTGGCCGAAAAAAATCCGTTTCTCGACCTAAATTAAATTTTTAATAAAAATCTGTATAGTTTTTATGCTTAGAAATAGTTAAAAACCATTTAGAAACGCATCCGCTATTTATACAAAAATTTAGGCTTGGACTGAAAAACATTTGGTTGAGAAAAACCTATATTTCGAGGAGTTGTAATTTCGATGAGTCGTAAATTCGATGAGTCGTAAATTCGATGAATCGTAAATTCGATGAGTCGTAATTTCGATGAGTCGTAATTTCGATGGGATGCAATTCGATGGGATGCAATTCGGGCAGATGTGATTCGATGGGTTAAAAAACGCCACAATGTTTGCCTTTTCAGGGCTTTGTTTCAGAGTTGTTTCGGTGTTTGAGAATTGGTAGGCATATCCCTGGTACAGATAAAAATCCGTATGTAAAATCAGAAAAGTCTTACCGCACTAGTGCACTCCGGTGTGCAGAAGCCGGTGAGGGGGAAGTCCAGCTGCCCCGGCGGGATCATCATCGAATCCGACCAGTGCGTACCCACGGCCATCATCGCCGCGTCGAAGGGCCTGTCGAGGGCCCAAATCTTGGCCCTAAACCGGAAAACACGTACCGCAATTCGGGGGTGAAGCTGAGCCGCAGCCCCGAGCTGTCGATGATGCCGGTGGTGAGGTTCGGGTTGTTATAGTGAACCTAAATATCGATTTTTGGCATTGCGGTATTCGATGTCCCTCAATCATCCAAAAGGGTACGGTACCCCGGCCGCCAATCCGAATGCCCGCTTCTGGTGGCAGAACGATGGCCTGAAAGCTCGGGTTTTCCGTCACTTCGCACAGTTGTGAAGCAAAAATACGCGTAGGGCCTCTAGGGGCTTCTCGCTGGTCGTTGCGAGGCCCTCGACACGCAACGCGTTAACCGCCAATCGGCCGCACAGGAGGATTGATCGATTACGCGATACAAAGTCGAGCACAGACCACAGTCGGTCCCTTTTCTTTGTTCGTTGGCGCCGAAAATTCCTTGCGACAGTGACACGCAACGCACCAGGGCACCTCTCCGGTTCAGAAGCGCAGTTTACCCCCCGGCCGGCGCCCAACTGCTGTATCTCGGCTCCCTGGCGGTCTACAGGCTTGTAAAGTATACCAAAATGTTTGTCTTGCTCTGGCGAGGATTTTGGTATACTTTACACATTTGTAGGATAACGCTGAGCCAAGATATGGTAGGTCAGGGGTCGGCCGGGGGCCGAACTCGATTTCTCCCACGGTATATACCTCAGTCCCAAGCACCCATGCCGCTTGCACGGTCTGACAGCGTCGAACGTGTTCCGGCACAAAATGACGGTCACTGCAGGGCCCAGAGAAGGCGGCGCTTTCCAGCAGGTCGCATTTTTGGAGCTGAAAAATGTCTACAACCTCGTATCCCCATCAAAGCCGATACCCTGACATGATGGACAAGTCGGTCGTACGGTGAATCGGGAATGATCGGTTCGAGCTGGAAAAGTGGAACATTTTAGACTGATTTTTACATTTCTATATAGGAAAGAAAATAATCGAGGGGGTACACATATGTAGGATAACGGGGGGCAGCCAAATTTATGAGATTTTCGATATTTTTAAAACGCGAATCGATAGAACATCAAAAATTATACTAAGAGATTTTTTTACAACGTGAAAAAATGTATTATAAAAGTTTTATAGCCTAAAAACTATTTTTGAAAACTATGGGCAGCACATAGGATAACGAATGGGGGGGGAACAAATTTTCGGCGTGTTGAATATTTTCGATATTTTGAAAATGCCATTCGATAGAGGGCCGAAAAAGAGCTTTTTTTACAGCCCGAAAAGAGCATATTTAAAAATACTTTTATCATAAAAAAAAGTTTGAGTGCCCCCCGTTATTCCCCCCGTTATCCAATGTGTACCATCGAGGGCATATTTTTTTACCTTGACCAGGTGATGGACACGTTGCAAAAGAACATCGGGAATCGGCTGCAGCTCGCACCATAATGTTGTCAAGGCGCCGGGTACCTAAAGTACCTAATATCGCTCGCGAGGTACAACTCACTTCCACACCAGCTGTGACAAAATCATAGCTGAAAAGGCCAATGTCGTGCGCTTCCGATTGGGGCATCACAGGTGGAATTACCTGAAGTTAAGGGCTTACAACAACAAAATCATCGGAGGTTACCCGCGCAAACGCTTGCTCCGTCACCACACCGTTCTCCTGCAGCGATACCCCAGCCACTAACGGACGTTCGGAAGCGACTGCCAGAAACTGTACGGTGCCTTGCTGAAATTGAAAGACTTGTTGTGTTTTGGAAAGTTTTGGCAACGTTTTGGTCGAAAAAGTGGAGAACAGGATTTGGTATCAGAAGCTCGAATTTTCACAATCTCGCAATTTCATAATCTCACAATTTTAGAATCTCGCAATTTCAAAATCTCGAAATTTCAGTATCTCGCGACTTCATAATCTCGCAATTTCAATCCTTTTCATAATTTCGTATTTCCCATGGACTAATTGCATTTCCGGAGCTACCCCGGATGCCCGAAAAGCCCTGAAATTGCGAGATTATGAAACATTCCTGAAAAGCAGCAAAGTTTTGGTCTTACCTGAATCGCCAAATCTTTCGGATCGCAGCTAACCCAACGACGTGACATCATGAATCCCTAAAATTGAGTCAACGCCCTATGAAAGGCAAATTTCCAACCTTGTCACTCTTCTGTAGGAGAGGACAATCCTGACTTTCATCCAATCGCAGAAGCTGATTGTCGTCGAGGTGATAGTCCTGGATAGCTTTATGTTGAAAAAACCATTTACCGTACGAAAATGTTCAAAAGATAGCAAATTAAAGTTTGTGCGCCCACTAATAGCTTCGCGTCCGGGTCGAAGATGCAGAGATCGGCACTTGAGAGATTTCCGTGTGTCAGGAAGCCAACGCCAAGCCAACGATGGACACTCGATGCCATAAAGCTCACATTTAGTTGCAGCGATTCGTTGCTGAAAACTGGATGATTGGCACAGAAATCTTATTCCTGCCGACCCGGAAACGAAAAATTACCCCTCCCCCACGGCCCACTCAATCGTAATATCCATGCCAGGGAATCGAACAACATGACCGTGTAAGGAAGCGCTAAAACACAGTACCCAAATCGCCCGCAACATCTCGAAAATGGTCCCATTTGCCGTTCGCTACCCGAAAGTGGACCCATCGATCGCGCCGATGAATAGAACGCCGTGTGAAGTACGATAATTCGATGCGTTTTTAACAGTAGCTTTTGCAAGCCGATGTGAATTATTCGAATCCAGACACGAAACATGAACGGAAAACACAGCGGCCATTAAAACTCTGAAATTCAGTTCAAATATACAATGGCTAAATCTCGAACAGCGAAAAAAGAACTTAATTTTCTGACTGACTTTAAAACAAAAACAAACTCGGTTCTTTCGCATTATTCGGGGGGACGGGGGGCCGAACTTCCTTTTCAGGATCTAGTTTTCAATTATAAATAGTAGAAATCTTTCTAAATGGTTTTTACTATTCCTAAACTCGAAAACTTTACTTATATTGTAAATCGGGAAAAGTAAAGTTGAAAACCTGAAAGAAAAATAAATAAAAAAAGAAAGGGCTATTTTTTACCAAAATTTCGAATTTTTAAAAGTTTTAAGATAGTTTTATACAGGGTGTCCCAAACCCCCCCCTCGGCATTTGGCCGTCTTCCATCGGATCGGGGCCAAATTTTTACCAGAGATGGGGACCCCTAAAAAATTTGTGCAGCCAAATTTTCTAAGCAAAATATTTTAAAACCAAAAAGTTATCGCTAAAAAACTGATTTTTGGAAAACGCTGGTACTCGTTTTTGGCTATGTTTTCGCAATTAGCATGCGGATTTTGAGTAATTTTCCAAAAAATGGTCATTTCTCGGTCAGTTTCTGGCAATTTCGATAATAAAAAGTGATCGAAAGGCCCAATTTAAACGTAATTTTCGTAAATCAAAAAATTTCTACAGGTAGAAAAGAGCGCCCTCTTCATTTTTGCTAAACATTTCGAGGCCGAAATCCGTCAAAATCCTAGTGAAATCGGCAAAATTGACCTTAATTTTGATATATCTTCTTTGTTTTACAATATTTTGCTTAGAAAATTCGGCTGCACATAGTTTTTATGGGTCCCCATCACTGGTAAAAATTTGGTCTCGATTGGATGGAAGACGGCCAAAAGCCGAGGGGGGGGTTTTTTTGGGACACCCACTAGTTGAAATATACTTATATTTTACTAAAACACTATTAAAACACTTGCCATTAAGTTACTAAACATTTCTAGATTTTTACAGGAAAGGTTCGAAGGAAAAGCTGAAGCGGCAGATTTTCTACCCTAAAGTTTTTTTCAGGCAAATGTTTCTGACCGGGTATAGCCGATTTTGGGCGTAGCAGCGAGAAGGGATCATCCGGCGCCAGGAAAACTCTAAATTAACTAAATAAATATTTGCCAAGCAATTTTTATAATTTTCTGAATCATCTACACCATACTCACGTTTTTCGCTTATTTTTTCGATAGCCTCTGAGCGATGCTTTTTTCAAGCGACGAACACCCGACAGTTCGGGCCCAATCCCGGTACTTCCTGACAAATAGCTGGAAAGCGTGGTTGTCCTGCGGCGGCAGCAAGTGCCCCCAAAAATTGGCTGATGGATCGACCATATGGGGACGAGCTTTCTGAGGCCGGACCGCCGGGATGGCAATTGTGTCAAAAGTGTCTGCAGCCTAAAGTCGGTTCTACTCGCTCCCAAATTTGTCATTACAAGTAGAGGCGCGGCCGGTGCCTTAGAAAGTAGTTTCTTGTAAGGGGGCGGCGGGCCTCGCGGTCCCCATATGCGGCCCACCGTAGCCCTTTTAAGCGGTCGTGCGGCAAGCAATCGCGCATTTCACTCGACTGCAGATTTGACTGTGGGCGAGGCCCGTTACTGCATTTTCCATTATATAACTTAAGCCTGAGCCTAAGCTTAAGCCTAAACCTTTTTGTGCTGTTCCATGTTGTTAGAAACATTTATGTTTATGAATTAACGAAAAAGCCACCGAACTTCCATCCAAATTTATATTGGCGAACGCGCAAAATTTTGTGAAGCCTAAGCCTGTACCTAAGTCTAAGCCGAACTTAAGCCTAAGCCTGAGCCCAAGCGTAAAACCTAAGCCTAGCAAAAGCTAAGCCTACGCCCAAGCCGAAGGCCGAACCCAAGCCTAAGCCTAAGCCCATGCCTGGGCCTAAACCTATTCTAAGGCTAAGTTTACACCTAAGCCTAAGGCTAAGCCTAAACCGAAGCCTAAGCTTAAGCCAAAACCTAAGCCTAAGCCTAAGCCGATGCCTAAGTCTAAACCTAAGCCCAAGCCTAAGCTTAAACCTAACCGAAGCCTAAGCCGAAACCCAATCCTAAGCCTAAGCCTAAGCCTACTAACCAAATCCTATGCTTAAGCCTAAGCCCAGGCCTAAGCCTAAATAAACTTATTCTAAGCCTAAGCATAAACCGAAGCATAAGGCTAAACCTAAGCCTCAGCCTATGCCTAAGCCCAAACCTAAGCGCAAACCTACGCCTAAGCATATAGAATTCTACGTCATTTACACTCTTCAAAATAGCCATGCCCAGTGCTCTTTCGCTCGTTACAACCAAAACCACATCCCGATTTGTGAGTAAGCAGGTTTGCGTAGAACCCCTTTGCCACGATGATACATATTCGGGGATGGGCTTTGTGGAGCTGTGCGCCAGGCCGCCGCCTAATTTTGCTATGAAACAAATGGGTTAAAGTCGTTAAAAACTTTCGTCGTTAAAAGTCGTTAGGTCATTTTTCGACCAAAAAGTAAAATTTTCGAAAAGTTTCTTTTTATATCGTTTTTCCGTCAAAAAAAACTATGTCAAATGCGATAAAAAGGGCTTAGATTTTGCTATTGTGCCGTAGAGAATCATAGGAAAAAATTTCGGTTCCCCCCCCCGCTAACAGTCCAGAACCTCAACTTCTTTCTAGCAACCCGAAAATGCTCGTCCTCATCGCCCTCTTCGTCGCCTACCTCGCCATCATCTACGCCCGGGCCATATGGGCAAAAACCCTCTTCGCCTGCGGGGCCCAGCAGGCCAGCGGTTTGCGGCAGTGGGCCGCTTGTTTCAGTAGGTTATCATGTGCTTCATTAACTTCATCGCTTACTGTTCAAAACGCCAAATTTTTAGTGGTCTGTCAGACCATCGTGGAGGTCAATGACCTCCTCGTCACGGTGCCCGCGCTGCTCGGCATCTACCGCGGCCCCGACGGGGACAGCTGGCTGGCCCGGGTTGGTCATTTTTACTCTTTTATTCTTATAAAAAGCTAGGCTTATTGTGTGTCTGTAAAGTTTAAAAACGTGACGACCCAGGAGAATTTTTGCTTGCTTCAAGGACTTTCTAAGCTAATGTAGTATATACCACATGTAGTATATACGCTTAATGGTGCCTGCGGCACCATTATCTGCCCCGCCCCCCAAGCGGGTCATCCCCTCGTTCCCCGAAATCAGTCAGTCGACCCCCCCTCCCTGTCCCTCCTTTAAGCTCAGCTAACTCGAAGTCTCACGGGAGACCGGAGGCCCTCTCTGGCCGACGGGATTCCGTCCCCTTTCTGATGCTTTATAAATTCTAAGAATCATATTTGTTAGGGTCTGTATCCGCGCCGGCCGACTTCCTTTCTCGGCTTCTATCCCGTCCCCAGTTTTATATGACAGTTTAAGTTACTCGAATAAACCCCTCATAATAAGTCCGTGGGTTAAAATACACTTTACACACTAAGACCTTCCTCATGAGTTTCCCCCTAGTCAAAAGAGTGTCAACGTCACAAATCCGTAGCATTAATCATAGTTCGTATCTGGGACATTTCATAGAACAACCTATGGCGCGGAGCCAGTTAAGTTAGGATTAGGGTTCCTAACTAGAAGAGTAGTAACAGCCCCAACATGGGAAGATCGTAACTATGTGTGTCTCTGGCATAGAGCCCCGACCACTCCGTTATGACAATGGAGGTCCCGGTTTTTGACTCTTAGTCTCTCGGTTCAGCCTGCGCTGCCTCCAAGCGCTGACGCTTTCAAATAGCGTTTACACCCAATAAATCTAAAATATACAAAATTTCTGTTACTGCTCTTACCCTACCCATTCCCCATTTTTAGGATCCGGAAGTGGTTTTAATTAATTACGATAAGGCAGGCCTGCCGCAGACTTCGACTGATGTTAGCCACATCAGCATTTTAAGTTACAACAGGAAAACACTCGGCTACGTCAGTTTCAAATCGCTGCGTAGTTTATAAACCGGTCATGGACGGAGTCTGCTTTTAAGGGAGTTGACCGCTCCATTTTTGGGAAACGCCACGGAGGCCGGGGAGTCGTCGTATTTACGTTAATTTAAAGGACACAGGCAGGACGTAGCGTATCCGGTCCTGCTTCATTCATTTATTCGTTCATTAATTGTTTTCGAGAAGGCACTAACACCAGATATAGGTTGTCCAACAAATTGTTGAGACTGGTGTTCAAGACAACGGCTTTTTGCCGGCTTACCTACATTGGGTCGCCGTCCTTCCAAGGCGGTTCGAATTAACTCTAGTGTAAGGTAAATGACTTTACTGAGCTCCTTTTGACCGTAGAATTCACGCAGGCTTGGAATGCCGCACTCTTCATCTAAAACTTGAGCTCCTTCGACTACCCCATGGTTAGGCCTACCGGATCGGAAAGGAAACCACCTAGAAAAACCCTCTAATTTTATTTACCATCTTAATTCAATTTTTTTCATTCCCCATAATCAGATACAATCCCCATATTCCCTAATTCCATTTAATTTATTCTATCCTATAAATTCGCGCGCATATTGTTTTGAATTTTTGTAAGCCCAAGTCAAGTCCAAAGACCAAGGACACTCCCAAACTCCCGCCCGATCTCTGGCTAGCAGAACTAGGACAATGCCTCGGGTTAAGAATTTAGGGGGACGCCTCGATAATTCCCAAACTTGGCCATCTGCCAATGCCGCGGCGCGAAATGAGTGGGGATATGCTGATCTATGACCTAGTTTAAGCACTTAATGTGCCCGGAGGGCATTGCATTACCGAAAAGCATCATTGGCGCTTAAACTTGACCTACCATCACCACCCCACGAAGAGGATCTGCCGTCGGCCAACGGCTAGAACCTCAGTTCAGCTCAACTGCCCAACGCACCGAGATCTTCCGTCAACTGCCGCGCCACCGACAACAGTCAACTTCTGGATCAGGCCGGTTTAAAGGGAGAAAGTTTTTGACCCCGGCGTTTCAGAGACAAAAGGGCTTAGCTTTTTGTTCTTGCGCTTGTACTTATAACGCAATTGTTTTTCGTTCATCGCGCTTTATCCCAAATTTGCGTCACCTAAATCTTTATTCAGTTCGCCGCATTTAGGCTAGTGTCGCATCGCTAGTCTCCAGATTATCCTCCGAGCAGCGCAAAGCAAGGAGAAGACGCATTTTTTCATAAGCGTAGCCTTTAAATTCGTACTTTCCAGCCCGGAGGTCTGGAAACGTAGCTAAGCCAGCGCGCTTGTATTTTATTTACGGTCACTTCTATTTTTTTGCTTATTCCCCAAACTAGCTGGGTAAATTGGATTAAATCTCCAAACAATCCAGCCTTACACAAACACAAACATTGTACCCCCATCTCTCTTCCAAAAAAAAAATCTCCAACGTGGCTCTCAACGCAAGGCCAAGACGTGAAGACATGGAGGACGAAAGATCCCCCAAAAGAAATCCGGCGAGAAGTACGAGATCTGATCGGCCTCAATATTACATACAGTGGACACGACGAGCCGCTGACTACGTTCCTAAGAAGACTGTTCGACACAGCTGTTACAATGGGAATCTCCATTGCCGCCGTCAAAAAAAGGCTTTCCTCTACTACTCCGCGGAGAAGCCAAAGCATTTCATCAACTTATGGACCAGGATACACGGGACAATTATGCAGAGATAATAAGGACACTATCCTCTGTTTTCAATACCGCAAAAGTCGGACTCGACCTGCAAAAAGCACTCCACGTCCGCCGACAAGGACCAAGCGAAAGTCTCGCGGAGTTCATCGTGGATATCAAGCAAAAAGCGGAACTACTCAATCCGGAAACACTGGATAGTGAGTGTGGGGACCCGATCTCCTTGATCCCCACGGGTTCTTATTCTGTTATTGGCTGTTCCGTTTGAAGTCCGATTCTACAGGAATAGATTTATTGGTGATGTAGGTTTGAGAGATGCATCCCTTCCCCTCAGCCCCTCGGGCTTTATACTCTGCCGGGCCCTCTGGGGCCACGCCTCCCCTCCCTGCCCGGGAGGGGAGATCCTGGGTCCCACAAGGGTGGCCGGCGAGTATTCGAGTCCGGGCAGGTTAAAGGGAGGCGTAAATAAAGCAATATTACCAGAAAAATAAAGAAATCATACTAGAAATGAAGAAAAAATAAAGGGGGTTGTGAAAAAGAAAACATCGATGAAATGCAAGAAGGAAAGCTATGATGTTGTACGGCCATAATTAAATGCGGAGAGGCCTCGATCCCAGTACAATGCAGCCCCCAGGGCACAGCCAATAATGTGTATTTACGAGTAGCTTCGACCCGTCCGAATACCACATGCACTATCTCGTGCAATGAGAATCGAGTGACGACCTTTAAATTTACCACAAAACTCCACCAAATTCAACCATTCCGGAAGGCAACCGGAGGTGAATAACAGTGTTGGTAGGCATATTTGTTCCGTTTCTTGTAGTTTGACTTTATATTGTCCGATGAATCGACGTTTCGAGCTTATGGTAACACAAGATTCATCCATGATCCCATTTAAGAATAAGTCGATTTGGCTTCGTATTTCACAGATATCATTTTTGGAACATACGATCTCATCGTGCGAGACTTCAACCGGTATATGGGAAGAGCACGCACTAATGTTCCCAACCAACATTACGATTGTCAGTGCTAACAAAGCTTGCCTCATTTGTGTGTGTTGGGCGCGCGTCTCGGCCCCAATATCAATCGATTCGGTGCCCGCGCGCCAACTGACCTGACGGGATGCAGCTGGTCTTTCGCTTGACCTTTCTCGGGATGCAGCGCGCTCCGGTATTGATACCCTTTCGGTCGCACGAGCTCGATTGATTAATTCATTTTCGCGTTCTCGTTCTCGTCTTTCGAGTACCCAGTCTGGCGTGTTCCAAGTTTCCAACTTGTCTCGTAGCCATCCCAACAGCGAAAATATCCCTCGCAAAAGTAGCACAATTAGCCTTAGGAGCCCAATTATAGCGTTGAAGGCTTTCGCGACCTTGTCGCTGGGACAGAAGCACCAGATCAGGGTTCCTAGACTCCCAAATCCCAGACCGCCCACAATAATCAGGATAAAAAAGTCGCACTGCGGATTCAGGACTAGATAGACCCAATAATTCCAATGCCAGAATCGGATTTCTGCTAGTACCACACACATTTCTCGCCCAGGACATGTTCGCTTATACAGGATGGGTCGATCTAGCTTCTTGCTGGGCTTTCTCCAAATTCCAACATATTCGCCTTTGCTAACTTCAGCTGGTGAGAGATCAACTTTTAGGATAGGCTGGCTTTTCATTTCCGGTAAACATTCTGATAATGTGCACAATCTTGAAATTTGTTTCTCGTTCTGATCTCCGTCCCGTAGAACGAATCCGGAGGGGGTGCACTCGATTCTCGAATTTAGATCAATCGTGGGGGCCTCAGCTTCGGATATTACTTCGGAGTTATCTCCCGGTTCATCATCTTCATCAATCAGTAATGCTTTCGCTCCGTCGTACGTAGCCATGCCTGTAATTGCTTGGAATGTAGGCTTTCCCACAGTTTTCTTTCCGATCCATTTAGCTACCCATTTTGACCCTTTCAAACCTTTCATAGTGTACTTGAGGAGTTGGCTGCCCTGTTGCGTAGCATGATTAATAATTGCGGATCCGATAGGTGCGGCGTGTTCGGGTAGTTTACGTGCTGCTGTTTGTAGAAGTCCCTTCACAAGCGCGCCCCATGACCAAGATTCGGGTGCCGCTATCTTATTGCCCATTTCATCAATTATCTGCACTTTTAGTGACGCATTAGGGCGCTTGTTCATATGCTGCAAAATCCAGTCATCAAACGTGTTCAAACTTGTGTCCGAAATTGGGATCGGGGGCGCTGTCGTAGTAGTTTCCCAAGTATCGATTTGGAATAAGGGTTTTTCGATCACTTCCCTCGGGGTTTTCTTTGAAACTAGTGCCATCATTTTGTCTTGGGATTCCGTATTTTCCAATTTTTGGGCTTTCAAAATGACTTTAGCAGGTGTATTCGGACTCAAAGTCGATTGAGTTGTGCTTGGGATTACTTTTGTTGTCGTTTCTGTCGGAGGGATTTTTGTGGTCGAGGGTGTTTCGATCGTAGGACTGGGTTGCGTTTCAGGCAAATCTGGCGGTCTAGCTTTCGCTGTCGTAGTCATTACCGTAGTCCATACCTTTAGTGTCGTAGTTATCGGCGGCAGTGCCGTTGTGGTGCGCGTCGCGCTTGTTGGCGCTGCCGTTTTGACCGTCATCTGGGTCGGTGCCGGGTTTGCTACTACTGGTTTCAGCGTGGTGGTCCAGGCTCGGTCTCGAGCCCAATCAGATTCTACCACTGCCGAAGTACCCAACGTCCCGATATTAGCGCAAAACAAGTAATCACGAACATTCCATATTTGGGAAAGGCAAGTTGCCGATAATTGACGCGTTCTCGCCGTCTTTGCCTTCGTCCCTGCGATGGCTCTCGTTCGGGGTAATTTTCGCTTGGTCCCCTGGTTGGGGCTGCTTGGCGCGTTTCTCGGGTGGGGCTCTCCGCTTTACGATTCTCGGGCTCTCCGCGGGTCCCGTCTGGGGCCTCATTACAGCGGTCATACGGTGCTGGGTCTCGTGGTTGCCGCTGAATGCCCTGGGGGTTTCTGTCCCCTTTTGCACGTGCCCCTTCTCCCGGGGGCTGAATTGTAATGCTCCTTTCTAGGCGCTGGGTACTTTGCCCTCGCCTTTTTCCCCGCTTCTTTTCGTGCATGTCCTGGGGGCTTTGGTCTCCCTGGATTAGGGGCTCCTCTTGCGTCAGCTGCATTGCCAATTGGCCCTCGGGCGCGTGATCGACAGGTCCTACGGTAGCGGGGTCTCGGGGGTCCTGGGGATTTTCCTCCGGGGAAAATTGAGGGCCGCTATAGTCGGGGGTTGGCTCAACCTCTAGTCCCTCGGTAGCTCGGGGTTCCCCATTGGTGAAATCCTCAGGATCCTGGAATTCCTCGACGACGGTCGCGGAATTCTCCGAAATTTCAGGAGTAGAAGCGGAGATTAGGGGGATGAGATGGCTAATAGCTCGCTCGGTAATATGGCCATTGGACAGGCGGATGCGGGCTGATCTCGGAGTATCATTACGATTTTTCAAGAGTTCCAGCACCAATCCTAGCCTCCAGTCCATTTTCGGACGAGAAAAGTCGCGAATCATAACTACATCTCCCGGGCTCGGGAGTGCAGCCACCGCTCGTCGATTCGGGGGTTTCACTTCATTGAACAGACGGTTCTGAGCCATATAGAACGTCGAAAAAATCTGCCAAAAACAGTTTGATCGTTCCAGGACTTCTAGGTATGCTCGGATGAAGTTAAACTCTCCGGGTTTAAACTCCCGCGGATCGTCGATGACGGAGTGTGTGCGCGCAATTAGCAAATCGGCGGGTCGAAGAACGACATCCTGGAAGTTCACTAATGGCCGCAGATTCACCATATAGCACGCTTCCTTCAGGGTTGTTGAAAAAACAGTAAAGCTGGGTACTTTCTGTCCGAGCGCCTTTTTTAGTCCTTCCTTGACCAAGCCTACGAGGCGTTCCACAGCGCCATTCGCATGAGGTGCCCTTGGCACGACATGGACCCATTTGATATCTTCCCTGACTAGTGCTGTTCTAAAATCAACTGGTCCTTCACGCTTTGCGCTGGCGCTCAAAATCTGTCCTGCCTTCACGAACGACGTTTGCTGGTCGCTTTGAATCGACTTGGGGGTCGTTTTTTCGGCGATCATAATATTCTCTAGACGCATTTCTACGACCGTTCTCGCTCCAGCTCCGCGGACGGTTCGATTGAGATCTCGCGTCTCTGCGCCCCCGACTCCAGTTATTACTGCGATCACCGCCTTGGTATCGATTTTTCGATTCCCAATATTTTGACCTGCGTCCCTCAGGGGTCCGCGATCGGAATCGCTCATTCCTGTCCCATTTAGGAGCTGCGTTAGCGCCTCTGCACAGAGCAGTGTTGTGCGATCCTGAGCACTTGTGGCAAGTCACCTTCCTGCGACATTGGTGCGCCTTGTGCTTGCCAAATCCGCATCTCAGACATTTCCCAAGAGCTTTCAGGCGTGCACTTCTATCCTCCGGAGTCGAGTATCGGCGACACTCGCTGTCCAGATGGTTATTAAGGTGACAAAAGCTACATGGCCAGCGATGTCTTGTTGGGGCTTCACTCGGCTTGGTGGGTTGAAATTGCATTACCGCCGGGTAACCTTGGAATTTATCCTTTCCCATAGTCGCAATGTATTCCTCGCCTGTAACCACTTTCTCTAGGCACGTGAGGAAATTCGCGGTGGTATTATCATTCGCTTGTTCGCGCTTGACTAGTACAAGGATTTTGCCTGGGATCAGTTTTTCCATTCCTTGGCGAATAGCTGGGTGCTCCGCATCGATTACATTATGCATATTCACCATCAAAAGCTTCAATTTGTTAAGCGTCTCGCGCAGCGACTCAGCGCTTTCATTAGCTTCTGGAATAGCTTTCAGCTCGGCGTCTAGCGCATTTTGGATTTTAATGGCGTCCCCATATCGGGCTTGTAAAAAATCCCAAGCGGGTTGGTATTGCCCTTCGTGAAGCATAAAAGGTTCTAGATCGGCGGCCGGTTTTCCGGTGACCGCTTTTTTCAATTTTGCTAATTTTTGCAGATTCGTCAGCCTTGCATTCTGGTCGATTTCTTGATGGACTACTGACTGAAATTCTGCCCATCGAAGTGGGGAGCCGTCGTATTTCGGCATCAATTTGATCAGTGAGTCTTCATCGTCCCTAAGACGCAAATGATCGACCATGTGTCTCACCAATTCGTTTTCAGGCTGTGCTGCTGGTGGCGCCGCTGGCTGAGCCGCGTTAGGCTCCTGCTCAGGGACCTCATTAAATGCTGGATTCATCTCGATTGCCGCAATCAATGGGCTCTGGTAAGCTGCTATCGTGATCACTTGGAGCTCGACTCGATTGATTCCGGGCAACTGTTGTGCTCGGATATTGGCTTCCAAAACTCGATTTGCAGTCTGTACCATGAACTGTAGAGATTCCATGGTCTTTGCAAGAATCGTCAGTGCGGCTCCTGTTTCCCTCGTGGCCCGCTCGTATTGTTGGAACGCTCGGCTCTGAGGTATGCATAGCCACTTATTAGCCATTAAAGCCACAAGTAGTAGCACCGCCTTTTTCATAACCAATTGAGCCTTTAGGAAAACAACGTGTAACTGGTTCAGCCGCTGTTGAATTGCTTCACCCAGATCTTCGTGATCCATTGGGATTTCCTCCTGAAGAGGTTGGTACATATTCAGCGCTTCGAGCCCTTTGGCCCGCTCATTCCCAGCGGATAAATTGATGTTTTCCAGGTGCAAGAGCGTATTTTCAGGTCGATTCGCGCGATTCTCTTGCGGATCTAGCGCTGCTAGCTCTGCGGTGAGCGTTGCAGGCGTTTCCGGTCTTCTCAGCCGTTCCATATTGCCACTGTATGGTTCTCTACTTTCCGTTTGTGACCTTGTTTCAGGTCCTTCCACACCTCAGGCGGATTTGTTTCACGGTTTTTTACCTTATTTCAGGCCCTGCCGATCCACTGGCGGCTTTGGTTTTGCTGTTTCTACCCTGTTTCAGGCCCTCCGCTCCTCTGGCGGTTTCGGTTTTGCTGTTTTCTGCCCTGTTTCAGGCCCTCCGCTCCTCTGGCGGTTGCTTTCCCCTGTGGGAACGATCTCGGCTCGAGCTGAGCTCGGCTGCTGTTTGCGCCCTGTGGCGGGCCTGGCTTTACGTCCTGTGGACCTCTGCCGCTGTCGGCACTCACCTTTCTTTGCCCCTGTGGGCAGTCGACTTCTCAATAAATACCAATAGTAATAATCCTGAAATACGTTCTTCAAACGGAAATAACCTCTAGCAGAATAAAATTCTATGCCACGGCCGACGCACCAGAAAGTTTGTGGGGACCCGATCTCCTTGATCCCCACGGGTTCTTATGCTGTTATTGGCTGTTCCGTTTGAAGTCCGATTCTACAGGAACCAGCCGATTACAGCCGCTTCGCGACTGCAATCGGCTGGACTTCGGGCCACCCTCCATATTCTACACCACCACATTTAATCCCTACCTTACGCTGATGCCTTCATGGCAATAACTACACTGATGGGTTCAGATACCTCCTCTAGCCAACCCCCCACAAAAACATAGCTACCTTCCCGATGGCTTCAGATACCCCTCCGGGTCGAAATTCCGTTAAAAATCTACCAAAATACCTCCCTGATGGCTTCAGATATCCCCCATGGCTGAAATCCCCTTCAAAAACTACTTAGATACCTCCCTGATGGCTTCAGATACCCCCCATGGCTGAAATCCCCTTCAAAAACTACCTAAATCCCTTCCCGATGGCTTCAGATACCCCCCATGGCTGAAATCCCCTTCAAAAACTACCTAAATACCTTCCTGATGGCTTCAGATACCCCCCATGGCTGAAATCCCCTTCAAAAACTACCTCAATACCTTCCTGATGGCTTCAGATACCCCCCATGGCTGAAATCCCCTTCAAAAACTACTTAGATACCTCCCTGATGGCTTCAGATACCCCCCATGGCTGAAATCCCCTTCAAAAACTACCTAAATCCCTTCCCGATGGCTTCAGATACCCCCCATGGCTGAAATCCCTTCAAAAACTACCTAAATACCTTCCTGATGGCTTCAGATACCCCCCATGGCTGAAATCCCCTTCAAAAACTACCTCAATACCTTCCTGATGGCTTTAGATACTTTAAATAATTTAAATAATTAATTAACATAATTAAAAAGTATTAAAAGTATTAAAGTAACTCAAAAAGGCATCTGGGCGCGCGAAGGGGCCTGGGGAAGAGGGGCGAAGAGAAAGGGGGCGTGGCCTCCCGGGGAAAGGGGCCCCCACTCGTTTTATTAAGGCGCCACTTTCAAAGTTAATTTTAATAATTTAAACAAAAACTTTTTCGTAATTTTTTTATCAGTTTGGGGGTTTCTGACCACGCTCTATCCGAATCCGAAGAGACCTAAGCTCTAGCTCCTTTCCCCTTCGAGTTGAATCCGGGACACGACGGACGGACGGACGGACGGACGGACGCCACTACTTTTTTATTATAGTTGATAGATTTATTGGTGATGTAGGTTTGAGAGATGCATCCCTTCCCCTCAGCCCCTCGGGCTTTATACTCTGCCGGGCCCTCTGGGGCCACGCCTCCCCTCCCTGCCCGGGAGGGGAGATCCTGGGTCCCCACAGTGAGATACGCAACGCACTGCTAGAACGAACATGGCCGGAAATCTCGAAAGCCCTTGGAAAACTACAGTTCCAAAGGCTGAACACTGTACAACTTTTCGAAGCAGCAAAAAAGGCTGAAGGCAAAGCAAAGACGAAGAAAGAAGAAAAAGCACAGGAACAAGGCATTGCAGAACTCATAGCAAGTATCTCAATCGAGCCGACCGCACAACAAAGGGAACCTGCATGGAACAGTCAAAACAACCAGAATGACTTTGACTACGAAGATGACGACCAATACAGTCAAAACTACCAAAACCACAACTACAACAATCCGCCTCCATCAAATCAACGTTATGACCAGCCACAGCAACAATACAACAGTTACCACAACCACTACCCGGCACATCAGCAGTATCGTAACAAACAACAACAACAACAATACAACAGCTTCAACAATCCAACATCCCAGTTCAACCCACAATATAACAACCAACACACATCATTTTTTTCAAACTAAATCCAACCAAATTTTTCCTAAATTATGCGAAACAGACAAACCCTACAGACCAGCTAGAGGAAATCCAAACTGACAATTCCTCATTTTGCAGATTCTCTTAGCATGACAGATTAAACCTACACGACTACCACCTGACGGCGTATCCGACAACCAGATGAGCCATGTTCTCCTGCGCTACCCCATGAGATGAGCCATGATCCTCCTGACGTGCCCCATGAGATGAGCCATGCTTCGCCACGAAACAAATAAGCCGCCTACCAAAATATCCATCAAACATCAAACACGCCCCTATCCATCCCTACTGCTGTCCACCATGTTGTCCCTACTTTCTTTCTATACTCTTCCTCCAGTGTTACCTTAATCGGTACACACAGGGCCCTTACTTCTGATGATGAAATTGACTGGCCAAGATTGACACCGCTTCGAAACACTCCCACTGAGCACTTACGTAGCGCACCGTACTCCGGGCGTACGTCCAAACCGCAGCCGGCTCCGCCCTCAGTTATGTGCACGGTTTGGTAGGGAGTTGGAGTGTCGGATTCAGATCCGTGTCTATATCTACCGTCTAATTCTTAAACCATTGGATTGGGTAGCCCTGCGCCCACACCATCTGACTTCATCATTTTCGTTTTTACCTCTTGATCCTCATCGTTTGTTATCTTACTCCCCCCCAGCTTCTTAAAGTTGCGGGACGCAACTTAGTTGGGCCAGGGACATGTAGTATATACGCTTAATGGTGCCTGCGGCACCATTATCTGCCCCGCCCCCCAAGCGGGTCATTCCCTCGTTCCCCGAAATCAGTCAGTCGACCCCCCTTCCCTGTCCCTCCTTTAAGCTCAGCTAACTCGAAGTCTCACGGGAGACCGGAGGCCCTCTCGGGCCGACGGGATTCCGTCCCCTTTCTGATGCTTTATAAATTCTAAGAATCATATTTGGTAGGGTCTGTATCCGCGCCGGCCGACTTCCTTTCTCGGCTTCTATCCCGTCCCCAGTTTTATATGACAGTTTAAGTTACTCGAATAAACCCCTCATAATAAGTCCGTGGGTTAAAATACACTTTACACACTAAGACCTTCCTCATGAGTTTCCCCCTAGTCAAAAGAGTGTCATCGTCACAAATCCGTAGCATTAATCATAGTTCGTATCTGGGACATTTCATAGAACAACCTATGGCGCGGAGCCAGTTAAGTTAGGATTAGGGTTCCTAACCAGAAGAGTAGTAACAGCCCCAACATGGGAAGATCGTAACTATGTGTGTCTCTGGCATAGAGCCCCGAACACTCCGTTATGACACTAAGTTCCAACAATTTATCAAGTTTTCTTTTTTCTTAGCAACCAATTTTTGAATGCTAAATAGCGGAAGTGTTTCTAAACCGCTTTTCCTATTCCGCATCATAAAAACGTTACTACTAGTATCGGTTGTTTTAACCCCCCTCAAGAATCACATGCCACCAAGTCAATTTTTGTTTTACATGCCATATTTCTTATACTACTACAAAACGTGTTTGTACGCGTCAAAACTTGCGGAGACTCAAGCGACAGCTGACACCCGGCAGCCGTTTTCGAACGTGGGGCGTTTGCGACCCCCAACTGGGAAAGGGCCCCCAACTGGGAAGGGACCCCAACTGGGAAAGGCCCCCAACTGGGAAAGGACCCCCCCACTGGGAAAGGGCCCCCCCGCGTAGGGAAAGGGGGTTTTGCGATCCCGAAAGTCGGGAGGAGGGTTTTGGGACCCCAGGGTGCCTACACCCGTTACAAAGCCCGAGTACCGTCACAACAAAATGCGCCTTGCCAAGACAAAACTGCCTACAACTTTTTGTGAATGTCTGGCCATATGATCAGATGGTAAGTGTTTCAATTTATAAACAGATAACCTGGGTTCGATACCCGCTACATGTCGAAAAGGTGAGGTTCCCCAATTCTAAACAAAAATATCAACTTTAGGTATCCGCAACGCCTGTCCAGACCCTGAGGAGGTCAAAACGGTAAAATTTTTTGCTTTTATGCCATGTGTGTTTTATCGTGCATTTTCAGACAACAACAATTTTTCATGCAAATATTTATTCAGGCACAACACTAAGATAAGGGATTTTTAAATGCATCGAAGTCAGCGGATATAACACGATTAACAGGATCAAGAAAAAACAACAATTGAAAAAGTTTGCATTTGGTTTCGGTTGGCTCGTTGGCGGTGACGCTTGAAGACTTCTCGACTTCCTGCTGATGGTTGTTCTCGTCCTTGACAGGCTTGCTGGTAGTCACTGGAGCCGGAGGAACACCTTCGTTGGAGTAGCTCACAGCAAAGTTACGCCTTCCAGGGCAGTGGAGATGCACATGTCGATTGAGGTTTGAACGTGTCGTGAAATTCTTTTGACACTGGTCACACATGTGCGTCAAAGAACGAGGCATGAAATATTGCGGTTGTTGAGAGAGCTCCATTTGACGACCGTACCGCAGCGTGACAAAGATAAGAATGAGAACCACCGCAGACGCTTCATAGTTGTAGAGATGAGAGGGAGCAGAGAAAAAGCTCAGACTCTACTTTGCAGCTGCCCACTCCAAAGGCAAGTTGACACGAAAATGTTTCGATACATAGTTTATTACAAAGTGATCGTCATTGGCAATGCTTTGAAAAAATTTGTGAAAGTCATAAAATTTACAACCCAACGACATTTAATGTAAAAAGACCAAGACAAATGCACCGCATGTTTTGGTGCCAAACTTT